AAAGGCTGTTCCCAACCATTTTATCTCCAGGATAACTTGATGAGACAAGCTCTCAAGAAAGGAAGAGAATTCAGTCTGTTCCAGCCAGAGAGCTCCTCTCTTTCTGCTAAGGTTACCAGTATTCCCCTCAACTCAGGACAAAAATGGTAGCAATATTACTAATGGAAGGAGAGAAAATTGGTTACAGCCATCAGCCTACCTTGGAAAGTATATAGAAAAGACAATTCCAGGCTGTGTCAACTGCATTAGCCTTGACTGTGGCAGCAGAAACAAAATTACAGCATTCCCAGTTATGGGACTCTCTTGTTTAAAATGTAGAGTTGCTACTAAAACACAGCAAAAGAGTTAGCGGCAAGTCATTGACACAAAGTCTTCCCACATCTTCAGAAGGAATGTTCTGATCCAGTTTTCCCATGTTATGGATTATATCAACTGACTTGACTGAAAAAGATGACACAGATCATCTCTTGGTACATGTTCCAATTGAAAGAATGTGAAAAAAAATCTTTCCTGATTACCTTGTAAATGTCTGATACAGCATTTCCAATAGCATCAGTATTCCTGGAGAATAGAAATATCTGTATCCGGAAGTATTTTGTCAGATGAAGGTTAGATACCAAACAGAAATGGAAGCTCAAGTAAATCCTGCAGACTCTACTTTACTGCCACTGTAAGTTAGCAGCAAAAAGAGTAAGATACACAAGTGGCTCCATCTATGACATAGGCTATGCAAGATCAACTAAATTCCTAACTTCCTAAACAGGTTCATAATACAGCTTCAGCTTCAAAAGAAAAGCACCAGGATCCCCAAATACATTAATTTCATCTTGCCAACTCTGCTTAAAGACATCATCTGAGGCACTTCAGAAAGCTCTTCTGCATGATAAGCATTACATGGCGCTTCTGTGAAGCAGTGCCACGAAAAGAGCGATTCTGCATGAGGATCTTATGCAATTCAGGGCAAAACATACCATGCAGAAAGACTGGGGAGCTGAGACTTCAGATCAGCCTCCTTACTTTAGGCTAGCCAGTGGGTGAGAGAAGCTTTCCCTGTACACGTAGCCCATCTTTCATTTTAGTTTTGCCCTCACCTTACTCTCACATGGCACAGTGTTTATTTCATTCCAAGCTTTTCAAGCATGTAATACTCCATGAAAATTATTGCTCTCAGGGCAGAAAGAAACTCAGGCTTCCTTTGCAAATTCCAGTCCACTAAATCCGTCTTTCGTACACACCCTGATCTCTTGAAAAAAAAGCCCTGAAGAATAGCTTTATACTTTTAATTCTTAGTCACTGGAAATTAATTCAGACCACAGAAATCAAGAGTGTAGAAGAGGCTGTAGAGATGGCAGTCTTTTCTACTCATGAAGTCCTCAAAGGTGAAAGAAAAAAACCAGAAATTGCTCTACCAGAAAAGTAAATTTGCAGCACAAAAAGTGCAGAAATTAAAAAAGGCAGAAAATTAGGAATTTGCCAATCTTATCAGCAAATTCTATTTAATGATTTCAAGGAATTGGTTTCATATAGCTACTAGACAGATCTCTCTTAGGATGTTAGTTCTCCTGTGAGAAGTTTTCTTTTAAGCTTGCAGTACAGTACCTCTTGCTTTTCTGAGACTGATGGTCTTGGGGTCTTGGGATTCACATGCCTTGTGGTGAAGGACAGAAAAAGTCTTTAACTGATGTTTCACCACCTAGAATGGCAACCATTTCTAATTACTAGGTCAGCTCCCTCTGATATGTTGGCATTGCAAATGCCAAAGTTTATACAAACTCAGAGAAAACTGCTTGCCTTGTACATTCAGGAAGCAAAACTCTATTAGCAGACAACTTGGATTAGCTCCAAGTCCCAGGTCATGTGTAAATTCTTTAGGTTGTCTTGATGAACCAGACACTTAGTTCACTAATGCTTCTAGTATATCCCCAGTAAAGTATAGCTAGCTCTGATGGCAATGCTCTACTGTAGGTAGGAAGAGGGATTTTGGAAAACAATTTCCTGTATTACCCAGGAAAGATAACATCCAAAGGGAATACATTCTAAGTTTTTATGGCCCAACAAAAAGCAACATAAGAAACCTTGGAAACTTCAGTTTTGCCCTACTTGTGATTCTAGAGTACCTAGAACCTTTTACTAGTGCTGTGACTTTGAAAACTTTGAAACTTTGAAAGGAAGGTAGTATATTGCACTTGCAGCTCTGTGTGAGGCTACAGCACGTTTAAATGCATTTCGTAACTGATCATGAAAACTACTGAGAACTGCGCAGAAGATTGACCTAATTCCCTGGTCAGATACCAAGTCCAAAATGGGAAGCTGTCTGACAACTGGAGCTGAACGAGATAGTTTAAAGGACCCGGAGAATTACCCACACCACTTCCAGCAGCCCTGGAACAGGACCCTGCAAAATGGTTGCAGAACAGGAACTATAGAGATGTGGTACCCAAACCCATTTGACATTAGCACTCACATAGAAGTGAGTACAGTTTTAAAACAAAATCTGCCACAGTGTTTAACTATAGGATTTTGAATTTTTTTAAGATTACATGTCACTGCAACAGCTCAAAAGTTGTTAAAGATGCAACTCCATATGCCAGCTTGAAAGCTCATTCTCTAATTTCTTAATCTTCCCCTCATACCTGGAGAAAACAGAAATGGAGGTGCTCAGCAGCAGCACACCTGAGGGCATCACAGCCCTGTGATAACTGTTCTCACCTCACAGGAAAGTGAACATCACCATACATATTATGAGATGACCACCTGATTGCCTCTATATATTTTGAATTCTGGACTGCATGTAACTAGAAATATTTATAAACATGCATAATACCAAAAGAAAAAAAAAAGTGTTTAGAGGCTTAAATAACTTAAAAAAGCCCCCAAACCATAGAGTGTTGGGCAACTTACACAAGATCATAATGAAAATCTGTCACAGAACAACTTTATTCCTTCAAGCCCATAAGTAGCATCTTTTTCTTTGGAAAGACCATTGTCTTTCCAAATGCACTGCAATTCTTCTCTTTAAGCTTCAGTACATTTTCATGTTAAGAAGAAAGGCACACATTGCTGGCCTTTTTCCCATGCTAGTCACAAGAGAAAATATTTTTTTTAACCAGGTTGGGATTTTTTTTGGTCACAAGATGTAAAATATACTTGATACTGAATATTTTTCCTTTCCACAAGTCAGCAGCAGAAAACAACTTGGACTTCACTAGCTGGAAAGTAACATTAGTTATCATACCATTTCTCTTCTTTGTAATCAACTTGTCCACCAGCACTAATTTGAAACTACCAATATTCATCACTCTACCACATTCACCACAGGTAACATTGATAATAAAATTTTCACTTCCATATCCTTATTAAATAGTATTAACAACTGATGTTGCTTCTATAAGCAGCAGAAATACTGCTAAAGGAACAGAAGAAGCTCTACAAAATTGTTTTCTGCCCTGTATTCATAAGGCTTAAAATCCTGTAAAAAAAGCAAAACAATTAATGCCAGCTAAATGTGACAAGGTGAAACTCATTTAGCCCTTCCAGCAATGTTACAACCAAAAAAAAAAAAAAAAAACTTTACCTGGTTTAATTAATTATTTTCACAGTTCTTGAATCTCATATTTTTCCTTCCTTTCAGACTTTTAAAGAACAGGCCTTATGTACACATGAACTACCTTCTGAAGCATCTCTCTGTAACTCTTTCTTGACCCAAAGACCTTCATTTTTGTAAGCAACTTCCACAGTAGCTCTTCCAGAGCACTACTGAAACACACTTAAAAAAAACTTTTCTCCCTAATCTGAAGAAGAGAGACTACAGATTGAGGAAGGGGAATTTCTCCTTAGTAGTTGTTTTCAGCAAAATAAGTACAACAAAATAATCTCCAACACTTGTTGAGTAGGTGAAAGCCATTGATGTTTCTGTCACAGTGCACTTGGATACTTTCAAATAAGCCAAATTCAGAGTTCCTCAAAACCAACAGCAATACTCATTTCCTCTCCAAACATCAACGAGCGTAGTTAAGGTGCTTTTACATTTATATTTTCCACTATCTGCAATGGAATATATTTGGGGGTGATTTTTGTAAGTTTCTGATTTTGTTTTTCAACAATGGGCTAAAAAATGTTCAGAAAAGCACATAAAATGGACAGTGACCATCAATGGCAACGCACCATGCTGTGCTACAAGAGCTATGTCTGCACAAACAGAAAAATATGAAAAGGCGTGTCATCCATCTGCCATCAATTTCAGCATCTTGACCAGAAAGTCATTAATTGACTTCAGCCTTTAGATCCTTGCCATCAATACAAAAACAGGTGGAAAGGACTAAATTCATAGTATTCACAGAAACATTCCTCTTCTATTGCTCGTCCTTAAAAATAATTAAGAAGTTTTAACAAACCCTTAATGAACAAATCCTAAAAAATGCATTAAATATCAGTGCATTTTCTGTCTCATCACATAACTTAGCACTCATAGCAGAATCCTTGCAGCAAATAGAGCTTTCTGGAAGGGCTGGTTACAAGAGTATGTATCAGTGGATAGGATTTTTTCTTTTCCATCAATTTTTTATTTCTAATGTGTCGTTCAGAATTTGGCTTTATGGTTCCTTGAACATACCTTGTACTTTGAGGGTATTGGCAGATGTTAAAGCCCTATATTGCTTTGGACTAGCAAACCTTACAAATTTGGGTGCAATTCCTTTGCAGTTCAGCATATGAGTATCTATGTAATTCCCAAAAGGTAGCATTATCTGCACTGACTTTTGACAGTGTCAAAGCAAGGATCTGTATGGAAGTTACCTGCCAACAGCAAGGCAAGTTCTCTGGCAGTGTGAGGGCAAACAGAAAAGGGGATCCCTTTGAAGTTTGTGACAATGTGAACTTACAGTAGGAGATAAATATATATTAAAAAAAAAAATTGTCTTAATTTGGGAAAATGCACCATAAGCAATAAACTGAAAATACAGGGAAAACCAAGCACTACCTATTTAAAAGACCTCACTATGTTTTGAATCGCTTTGTGCTGTGGTTTACTTATGGTGTAAACACACATATACACATTCCCATCCCTCACTTGCATTCCCAATAATAGCAAAAATAAACATGAAAAATAATATTAAAAAACTCTGTATTCAGTAATATTCACACCAAAGTATATGTATAGGTATATCCATTAAAATTATGAACATTTCTAAATATATTTTATGTATCATACATATATTTATATGTATAATTACATATCCACAGAAGTAGTCTTGCTGTGCCAGAGCCAGCAGTAAAAGCAAAAACAGGTTTCACAATAGGACACCCATATATGCATACATACTGGCTGTTTCGTTTGTGAATTTATTTACAACTTAACTATATCATAATAAATGCTTACTGTTCTATTGTACAAACGGAATAGTAAAGGTTTAGGTTTGTTTTTTAAATACAAAGACTGCAAATGAATACATGAAAAAAATTACACACCATGTACAGTATTTATAATTTATAAATGCAAAGTTAAGACCTCTTTAAATTATTGCACTTGCATATTTTTTTACAAAGATAAGTTTATATGTATCATATATATATATATGTGTGTAAATATATATATATATAAAACAAAATTTTCAGCTCACTAAATGTAGTAAAGTTGAATGTTGTTACCTTGAAGTTCTTTCTTCTTCACATAACAGCCCAACCTGATTTTTGAATATTTATGAAACTACTCTACAAATCAGTTTGATCTACCCTAGAAAGCAGTCCATTATTTTAGGTTTTTTGACAGAGTATACACCCGTATTACAATCGAGCACAGTTTTTGGTCAGAAAGCAAAAGAAAAAAAAAGTTATGATGTGCCTTTGCTAGATTGGGATATATAATTAAAGTTTGAACATGAACTTTCTTGTAATATTGTGCAGAAAGACGTTTCCACTTTTAAAATGAATAAATTAATTGTTACACTTCACAGACCTGGTCCTATATCACAGTGTTTGAGGCAAATGCATTATTTCAAGAGGGTCATAATTGATTTGAGCATCCAACAATCTCTATATTTTTTAACATGAATAGTGCTTTTTGCTATCCCTACAATTTAAACATTAAATGCTCTAAATGCAGTCACAGCAAACTGATCACACTGTTCTAAGTTTAAACACATGAAAGAAATCTGTGCCACATCAAAAGATGAATTCCTCTTTGCATGTCCCCTCCAATTTAATATACTTGATCATATACTCTAGCCAGAAAAACTCAATTGCATTTCTCTAATGGTCACTTATAAAAAAAAATATTACTGCTATGAGTTTATAGGAGTATATTCTCCTACATACCATCATAGGAGAATGTTGCCCAACCATAAAAAAATCACAGATTAATTTTAACAGTGGAGTTTCTGTTAGTGTTGTAACAAAATATGCAGTATGTCAGACAAGTATCATGCCATGTCAACTATTTTTCTCACTTAGTGCATACCGTTCAGGCACCATTTCATAATACATTAGAAATGCTCAATTATAGCTTCAAACAGCGCTTTTACCTTTACTAGGCTTAGAGTGGAAGAGCAATTGGAATTATTAACAAGAAAAATGTAATTCTGGGAATATAAAGTCTAACACTTCTAGGAAAGGAAAGAACTGTTAGGCTTTTTATGAATTCTTGTTGATTTTGGACAAGATCAGTTTTAGTATGGTAAAAATGCAAGGAGGAATGTCTTTTCGCATTTTAACTTAATGAGTCAGATGTCTTACTCAATTTGTGAGTTCAAGTCCAGACCTTCAAACAATTAAATCTCAATACGTGTTTGAGTCTTGAAATTCAAATGCAGCTCCAAAGTTTTAATTTTTGGTGGTTTTAACTTTGGAAGTGCAGGTATAAGTCTTTTTCTAAAAGAAACATTTACACATATGGATCTATACTCTGTAAATGCTAAGACAGACTATAGTTGCTTTAAAAATTACAGTTCATCATGGTTATTTTTGCTGATCTCTGTGCTAAGAAAGAGTAACATTTTGTCATGACCTTTCTCCTTTTACACACTAGGAAATCAAACCAAACTGCAGGCACTGGAGCCAAAATTTTTAATTCTAATAGGCATTATACTACAGCAAACATTTATTTTATGAGGTTTGGATAGTTCTGTATTAGAAACAGTACCTGATTCACTTGAGACATAACAACTGACTGCCAATTTGAAAAATTTTACAGGGAAACAGGCTCTCTATCAGTACTTATAAACTGCAAAATAAAATCATATGCGATACCGTCATATATTTTAAATGGTAAGAAACAGAACTAGTGAAGTTATCTTTACTGTCAATGAGTAAAGGATGAATAAAAAGCTTTCCATACACACAGACACAGTGTGATAAGGAATACTGTCGAAATGCTTTTAAGATCAGCATTTTTAAACAGAGAGAAAAAAAAGAGGAGAATAGCAACAAATATACTTCTACCATGAAGGAAAACATTCCACTGATTTCTTGGGGTATCTAAATTTCAAGGAGTATTTTTGTAGTCACCATAGATTTAGATAATTTCCAAGTAAATTAGGATCTAGGATCCGTGGATTGTGTCTCAAGTACTTAGTGGATGAAAGGTTGCATCTGCATGATTTAGCTGAAATAGAATAACTAAGGAGTAAAACAGAGGACACAGCATGAGATATTATTCATTCTACTTTGGCGTAATTTTTTCCTGTGTTTTTTTTTTTTTTTTTTTTTTAATTCCAAACCAGTTTGCTGTGATTAACAATTAATTTCTGCATTTAGAATTGGCAAAGCAAACAGAAAAAAATTATGGGGCTGTAACCTGCGTCATGCAAGTAAGAAGACTTCATATCGAATTCTCAACCTGTGGGATCTCTATGTACAGCAAAGGCTTAGGTGCATTTATACATTACGCGATTATGGATCACACACTGTACACATATACAGATAGTGGCATGTGCTCGACCATAACAGAAGGCAAAACTCAAGAGTCCAAGTTGTTCACACAAAACCCATAAGATGGCATGCCTATTAGAGCAATACAACCCAAAAGACATGAGATGGAAAAAGAGAACCTGTCTTCTGTCTTTAAGTTACAACTAGTATTTTTTGCAGTTACACAATGGCCATGTTATAATGGAACCACTACAAGTGTTCATTACCTATGAAAAAGCATATAATGCAGTATAGGCTGTATGTGAAAGGTGTGCAAAGACGGTGTTTTCACCCACTGTGTGGATCACTGTGAAGATTTTTTTCTCATTATTTTTGAGAGAAAGACAAAGGCAAATTAAGTGTTGTTGAAACATACTCTGTACAATTGCACTAAATTTAAGAGTGGCATTCAACGTAAGGTCTTAAAGGCTGTGCCTAAGTTTGTAAGGCTAAAGCCTAAGTCAGCACAGAACTGTAAACACACTATTTTGGAGTACTTTTCTTCAGTCAGCTATTCTTTCACTAAGAAAGGCAGTGCTAATCCTGGAAATTTTGCTGAACTAGGGGAAAAAACAAATAGACAAATGGAGAAGGTTTCTAATTTCACTCATCTTGGGATGGGGGGGAAAAAGCAGTAGAAGACATGCAGTGTTACTGTGCAACACAAAAGCTAGTCAATACAAACACAGTTTTGATTTATTGTGATGGTACCACAATCCCTCTTATCAGACCTGACTTTTCTGACAAGGCTTTTGTTCCCGGGAGATAGCATACTTCAGGTATGTCTCTAATATGTTTTAAAATACAACTCAGCAGGTAGAAATAAAAATTATGACTTTACTCAATTGTGAGCTAGGTAAGGAAATCTTTGCTGTCACATTTAAATTTTAATCTGATACTTCTGTCACTATGGATACAAAAACTCCAACCTGAAACTCCCTCTCATATCAGAGATAATTATCCAATACTTCCAGTGTTTTAAGGGAGGAGTTGTCTAGGTTTATAAATCATTCTAAATAACAAAGCACCATCACTAGTTCTATCAACGTTTCCCTTATGAGTGACAGACAATTTGCATCATGATGCTTAATGAAGTACTTTAAAACTTTAACCTGAATGTTGGTTTTCCTTTAGTTTGCAGCAAGAGAATTCACTGTAACCTAAGCATAAATTATAATCTCCAAGGATTCTGCTGGAGTTCAAACTGATTACAAGTAGATCACACATAAACATTCACAATAGCAATGGGTATATTGTTCTATTTATAGCCAAGAACTCCCAAGTGACACTGGTGTTAAAGCCAGCCACAGTACGGTATAATAAAAGTACCATTGAAACCCTTACTATAAAGATACAATTTAGAAGTACCCCCTAGGATTCCCCCCACCCGCACCCCCCATCAGTTTTAAATTAAGGCCTCAGCAATGTAGCCCATGAGATAAGGCCAGTCTTTTATATTCACAAGTCATAAGTTCTCTTTTGATAGCTGACTCTAAAACATCTGGGTTGTCATTTTCCCTCTGTTGACTTTGTGTCACTGGTGTAGGTCAGGAGACTGGCTGCCAGAGTCATTTAGCTGAGGTAACTCCATGGGTGTTACCTTCCTAGGCAGGTCTACTTCTTCGTTAGAATTTTGTAGCTTTTCTTTTTCCTTTTTTTTTTCAAATAAAAATTAAACAAAAAAAAAATCCCCAAAACAAGAAGGGGTGCTTTTCAGATTGAAGCAATCTGTTGCTGCTGTTCAGTCATCAATCTTCACAGGAAGAGAATCTGAGGTCCCAGGAGCAAGGGACTGGGAGGAAATCCATATAGAGGCTTCCTCACCTCTTGTTACTTTCTCCCATTGGTTGAGATTGTCCCTGGAGATGCAAAAAAGTCAAAGATAAAGCACTATTCATAAGTTTACTGGGATTTATTTATTCGTAACAATACTGCCTGTTGTACTATACTTTGATATTTATATTTATGCTGTATTTAAGTTCTTGTATGTCATCAGGTTTTTATCATCTTTACATTATTTCAGCCTTCAACTTCAATTATCCCATTTTATAATTCTGTCTGATTCATATCCATGTCAACTATATACAGGACTATGGCACACCTGTCCAAGGGCACGCCCTGATACTAGAGGCTACCACCTGCTTCCATTACAGATTTATAGCCTTCACGGCTGCAGGAAAACCCAGCTGTGAGCCAGGAGAGACATGTCAAAGGAGACTCTGTGGTGGAAGGCAGTATCTGATGGAGTCTATGAAAGAAAGCTGGTGCCCCTAGGGTGAAGACCTACACCATTTTCTGCAGGCACATGGAAACCTGCTCTGCCAGTGCTCCAGGCCAACTGGAAACCACGAAGCCGGTGTTAATACGGCACTGAACCTCAGCTAATACAATCGAGCACTAAGGATCAGAAAAAGTGAACCATCACTATTGTTAGGTCTCTTTCCTGGAACCAGGAAAGTGGTGAGAATTGTAGCCAAAATATTTTTAAATTATATCAATTTCAGCAAGAATTGAGGCACAAAAGGACAAAGAGAACAGTTTTAAATTATTTGGTCTGAAATAAAGGAAAAAAATAAATCACTTAATATTAAAAATAAATACACAACATATATTTGCCTCTTTGGTAGGGCCTATTGAGTACCTGGGCTACAAAACACAGAAAAGACTTATTCTGAACACTGTAACACAGGTGACTGGTAGTTTTGATGTCCACAGAATTACAAGAGAGCATTTAAAAATGTGGATTAAATTATCAGACAAGAAAACCGAGAGTGTTAGCTGCTACCTTACCACAGGAATATCAGTGTGACACTTTTTTTATGTTATTTTTATTTTTTTTAAGGCATTGATCATACGATTAATTTGCCCTTGAGCTTCTGGTGAACCCCTGGCTACCAGTGTCTGGAATAAATGCTCAGAGGCTCTCAAAAGAAAAACCTTGATGCTGACATGCTGTCTTGACTGCTTTTGCTGCTATTATTGGTGTCTGTGTTTCAAAGAACTCAAGGATGCAGCAGCTTAAATACTGTGTTCCAAGAATGAGTATTGCTGGTGAAGGGGTGATATCAAAATTTGTTCAGTCAGCAACTGAGGAACAAGAATGAGGCTCTATTCCTCTCCTCACACTGAGTAACAGTTACCCATCAAAAATAAAGGAAAAAAAATTAGTGCCAAATCAGCTACTTGAAATACTCTAGACTGTTCTAAACCCAGCAATAACATCCATTCTTAACAATTGCGGAGCTGAAGTTAGATCTGTGTTCTGATTTCCTATTTTGCATTTCTAAGTCTGAACTCAAGCTTCCTCTTCATTCTCTTCAAAGACAAAGCAGAGGGTAATTTCAAGGCCAAGATAAAACTGCTCTTCAGAAGGCTTTATGCCAGGGTGTGGATTTTCAGTAAGCTCTTTATTCTTAAGGAGATCTTAAACCTCATCCACATGTCTGTGCTCCAGTTCTTCATCAGCACAATCTAAATTAAAGAATACACAATAGCAAGACAGGGAGATGTGTCTGTACAGAGCTCAGCCCAGTGTGGAGACTCTGTCAGCCTAGCTTTCAGGAGTATCAGTATTACGCTTTGAATTACAAATAACAAACATAATTTCTGCAACAGAAAAAGTTCCTATTATCTCTGCCAGGAGTCTGATTGCTTTTACTTCAGACATCACATCTTCTACAGAGAAATACGCTCTTGAAGAGATGTTCATGCTTCATCTTCAGAATTATGGAGAATCTTTCATCTAGAACACATATTTACATGGGTGTTTGATATTCACAGTTCAACTTTAGGCCTCCTTGTCTGAGTACTAAAAGATGGACATCAAGTAATACAGGCCACTTTTGTAAATAAATTTCATTTAGATATCCAAATTTTTGTGATCAAAAATCAAAAGATCAGTGTCTTCCCAGAACCCTGCTTCTAAAAAAGATGTTGTGCAGTCTTAAGCACTCAACCTAGCCTCTCTAAGCCTCGGTTTCTGTTAGGGGAATAACAACACTAACTTCATACCATAGGTACTGGCTATGCAAATAGTTCTACAGTAAATACAAACTCATTTTTAAGATCTCCCATTTGACTGTGCTAGTAAGAGAACTTTCCTGATATCTTATTTTATTAATCATGCAGACTCTGCAAGACATTTTCATGTTAAGAGCATATGGATAATGATTTGGGGAGTAAAAGTAAACCCAAATGTTCTTTTTTGAACGTTTAGAGCTTCTCTTAATCGCTACTGTCTTTATCCACTCTTCTTAAAGCACAGATGCTAACCAAAATTCCAGCTGTAGCCCCATTAACAAAATAACTACAGAGGTATAGTCTCCAATCCTCCTGAATATTCCTTTCATATCCATCTAAGGGTTGCACAGCCATGCCCAGCAGAGACACCTTAGAGGTGATGAATATTAAAGATGGCCCCTGGATACTCAAAGTTTTTCATAAGACAGTCCTCTGTACTATTGATACAGACCTACACATTCTTTTCATAGCTATAAGAAAGAGTGTTTGGGTGTGAAGTAAATGGTTTTGCTAAGTACTATATTAAATTTCAAGGTATTTGTTCATTACTTAACACAAATAAAAAATTCCATGGAATCTTGAATTTAAGGACCATGACAGAAAAAAAAATACAAAAAATAAGAGAGGTACTAGCAAGAGCAAAGAAAGCATTCCTCTTTTCCCACAGGATGTAACTTAGGATTGCTGGCTTGATGAACCAATTGGATTTTTTTAGAAAATACTGATTAGCCAGAAAATGGAACATTTTCATGAAATACACACTGGTTTCAACAAAAGTTTTGTCAGGAAAGATTGTTAAGGTCCAGGATATAATTATTGGACAGACCTACCTACAAAGCAATCCACCGACATTTCAGGGTAGAAGCAGCCAATAGGTTAAAGGACTCCTGCCTCTCTGTCAGAAGAACCCAAGCTACATACCAGTTGATTCATAGCAGAAAGCTATATTTGACTCTCCCTTATCCCAGTGTTATTACTCTTATGTTGCCAATTACTGAATATTTTGTGGATATTTCTTTGTCTGCTTTTTAATAAAAATCACCTACACGAAATAAAACCACATGCTAACCCATGTCTTTTTAATGAAACAGAATTTTAGAGAATTTTTGTTGTGAAAACCATGCAGAAGTAAAAAGGACATAGAAGGAAATTGCACTTAACCAGCCTAGATAGTGATGCACAAACACTGAACTGTTCCTCTCTAATTACTTTTGGCATCCAGTATACTTTAATCAGCTCTGTCTGTAGATCTGCTTTGGATAGTCCCAGACATCAGTTATCACCTCTGGGTTTCTGCATAGATTAATGTGATATGTGTATCCCTGTTCATCTGCATGCAAAGTCTAAAATTAAAAGTCTGTATTTCCAGACAAACTTGCAAAGCATTCTTGCTTTTTCTTTGACCAAGTTACACGCTATGCACATTTACTCACCTGCATGCTCGGAGTAGTGGCCCAGTTGGAGGAAAGATCTGTGCAAGTGTGGTGTAACATGGGATGGCTACAGCATTGTAGAACCCAATCTACGAAAACAAGAATGAAAAAAAAATGTTGCCAAACCACAACACTACAACACTGGAAGCTAACAGTCAGCGAGCTCAAAGCTGTTGACTATTTACTTAATTACTGCTTACATTAGTAATTCACACTTCTGCATCTCCTCTTAATATCTGAATCCTTTAAAATAAGCAGCAACAGCAAAATCTCTGGTAATAGCAAGTTGCTTACATGCCTTTCTTTTATGACTGGTATTTCTACTTCAAGTAGGGTTTTCTACAGAACCTTTCATTATTCAATTGATTCATTTTATTTGCTCAGGATCTGTCTAGCTTTTTGATGTCACTAGTTGTGGAAAGTAGGTGGAGATGGCAGAGACATTTCTGCAAACATTATTCATGTGATGATTTGATTTTTTTAGAAAAGGAAGATTGTGCAGCATTGTCAAAATACAGTCAGATTCTGGATTGTTCTGATGTCCTCCAGGGTGTGCATTGCATAGCTCAATTTACTTAACGTGCTGGGGGCTTTGCACATTTGGAAAGTTTCTAAAAGGTGTGCACTGCTGGTCTGTAGTTTCTTCTCATGTATGCACTTCAATGATATATTTTTACCATAATTTTATTTAAAGAACATCAAATGAGCACCTTTTTAACGATATCTGATTCATACAGGCTTAGGGGCCTATAACAGCTACAGTGTCATAGCTGAATTGCCAAGAAATTAAGGGATTTTTAGAAAATGTTGCTTATATATTATCAAGGGTGACAGGTTACCTTCAGACTCATTATAGTATCAGTTACTTAGTCCAGACTCTTAAGATAGTTACAGTAGTGCACTATGATCCCTTTCTTAGGGCAAAATTTTAAAATGCCTTTTACTGAAATACTACGTATTGTACTACGACCAAAGCATTTGATAATGTCTCTTTTTAATGGTCCAAACATTGGCCCTTACTCAGAAATCAGAGGGAAACTTCTTCACCAATACAAAGATTCCTCCCATACTGCTATGTAACCAAGTCATCTCTCTACTTACTACTATATAAAAATTAGAAACGTTTTCTGATCTGTGAACCCAATAGTCTGAGCTGAAGTATTTATGATGTAACCAACTGAAAGAAGGTGAAAAGGCCAGGCTGCACACAGCTGGGATGTCTGCTTATCCACCCTATTTCACATAATGTGTCTTCCTACTTGTTTTTGGGTTTGTTTCTACTTTTTTTCTTGTTTGCTTTGTTTTGACAGGGACTATTTTATTCCACTGGGAAAAGAAGGTTACCCAACAACTATCAGATACTAAAATGGGACATTAGATATGGTCACACGAGACCTTCTGGCTCAATGAGAAGTGTGTTGCCCTTGCAAAACCAACTTCATCCTTCCACCAAACTAATTTTATCTGCAATATATTCTGAACAACTCTCTTTGGAATCCTGATATTTAGAATGTGTCCTTTACAGTCCTGGAAGCTTCTGAGTAAAATGCACATCAATCCACAAGGAGAAACCCAAAAAGGCTTTCAATGAATTTAGGTTTTGAAAAAAAGCCAAGGTAATGAAAAACATTCCTTTTCAAGAGTTTCCATTTCTGACCAGACCAAATTCACCCAATCCTTTTGTAACACATTGAGATTATCTGGATAAAATATTCCAGATTGATTTTTATGTTGAAACATAGACAAAAAAGCCTAAAGGTTGCTCACTGCAGAAAAGGCATAGTATGTATATCCCAAAGATGAATAAGCAAGAGGAAGTAGATAATATCTTTTGTTTGTGAAATGAATTATCTCTGTCTCTCCAACTGTGTATCCTAAACATAATTCTAGTTTTAAGAGCTGGATTCTTAATGTTCTAACTGAAGTAAGAGATCAACCTTAGCATTTTATCCTTGCTGCGTAGGAGTAAAATTTTATTTTCAACATGAAAATTGTGTTTCTGGGATGCCTGAATGTCTGAATTATATGAACTATTCCTTTCCTCTCCCTCCATTTCTCAGGCTGGCTTGACTTGCTTATTAAAAGGGCTTTCAGGTCACTGCATAGTTTTGTCATTTCTGTTTTCTTCACAGTTTCCAAAAGGAGGGGCAGAACAGAAGGTGAATGGAACCTTGCTAAGCTGGGAATGACTCCTCAGTGCAGACTTCATAATAGGAAGACACCAAACTCAGAGACCTTAAATGAGCTTTGTTGCAAAGGATGCAAAGCACAATTGATCCAGGCACTCAAGTGAGAGCAATAGCTAAGTAAAGGTTATTTTTATCAAACATGAGTATTTGAGACAGAAGTAGTTATTTTCAGAGATTACATGTTTATACAAATCCCCATTTCCTAAACATCATTGTCATTTACATAACATGTTAATGCTTTACTTAAAATTCGCAAAAAATGCTCAATAAGTATTTTTGCTAGAGTCCACGGAAAGGGAGGAAAATAGTTTAACAAATTCTTCAGTCTCTTCATAAATATAGGAAGGGCTGCTTTCACAGAGTCATGTACGTCCTAAATCTCACATTTTGCTATAACGCTATAAGGTACAGAAACTGCAACTATACTAGTGAAGTTGGCTTTTAATGTCCTTTTTAGTTGAATATTTTATTGTTATATGACTATGAAGCACCAAACAGCACACAAAGTAAAAGAGACAAAAAGCTTGTTTCTTAGATCTTTCGCTTCACTAACAATTCTCTCACAAATGCCAAGATAACTGTACATACTGTAATACCATGTACTTTTCAAGATGTTCAAAGATAACTAAAACAGTGTGTGGAAAAATAAACCAAAGGCAGAAAAATGTTTCTTCTCATTTTAAACTTGTACTGAACACTTAAATTTAGTACATTAACTGCCAATGCCTTACTATAATAAGGCGTAATAGTCAAAATAACTAATGAAGAAGTATTTGTCTAAAATTGCAAATATTTTGAAATCTAAACCTGAATATTTTAACCAAGAACAGGGGATAAAGTTCATTTTATACGCAGGATGAAACAGCAAAATCTTTTAGCTAAGGGCTGAAGTAACCATTTACTAAGATAAAAAGTGTTACTGATACTCTTCAAAATCATAGGTGATTCTGGTCTGAGCTAGAGTTACAAGCACAAAGAGGGAAAGTGACAACAGCAAAGAGCATGTTGTAATTCAAGTAACAATTTGAAAATAAGTTTTTCACTGCTACTTAAAAAACTAACAGTTTTACATGCAGAACATAGAATTCATCAGTCTGCATACCCTAATTTCAAATGCAATTTTCACTAACATACAAAATGTTTTTTTCCATACATATAGTGTTTATTAACACTTTACCATAACTATGGTATATATGTATATACATATATATATATATATATATATAGAATGAGAGAAAGAGAAATACATATACATACTATAACATGTACCATTTTACTGAGAGAGTTCATACCTGACCCTGAGGGACTTCATCTTTCTTGTCTCTGTCCATCATAGGAATAGGCTGAATACCCGTTTTCTTCATTTCATCACCCTGGAGAAAAGCAATACTTCTTTTATCCTCACAGTTACGATCACGATCAAGAAGTTAAAGTTGAAATTTTAACCCAAGAAGTTTGTATCATACTTGTAGTACAGCTGTAATAAATGGCTTATAAGTCTCTTAAAAAACACTGCAGAAAGGGTTTAACAAGTGCCTCATATCACCAAAAAAAAAAAAAAAAAAACCAACCAACCAAAAAAAAAAACCAACCCCCCCAAAAAAAACGAACCAAAAAACCCACACAAACACAAAAATGAAACAAACAAAAAAAAACCAAACAAACAAAAAACCCCAAACAAACAAAAAAACCCCAACCCAACAGACACTCTGAGAAAATTTCATGTTATCAAGGCAGAACTTAGCTGAAGACACCAGCTATACTGGGCTTCAGTGACAAAAAGATCAGCGTAACAAACCACAAAACTGCCACAACTGCTTCTAGAGTTATTGTTTTAGTTAATGATTACACAAAGAAGAAATATTATAAAAACAATCTGAATACATCATTCAACATATTAAGATTATGAGCTCTATTACTAATTACAAGCATTAGTCTATGCTTCTCTTCGAAGACTCATAAAGCTGCTCACTTTCCAGTGCAGGCATTTCAAAAAGTGAATACTGAACTAGATCTTCGAGCTTATATATTTTTCAAATATTTTGTTATAGTCTGAGCTGTTTGTAATTAAGAGAATGAGAACATGTGAATACTAAAGACACACACAAGCCGTGCACATCTGGTATTTCATAATGAACGTGCAACAGGCAGAATAACAATCTCCACACTTTATGCATGCTACATCAATTCCATGGGTCTGATTTCTACTTTATGCCTGTGTAAAACAGAAATAAGCCCACTGAACATTGCAAACTTTTACAGGGCACATAAAAGAAGAGAACAACACTTTATCCTACACACATGCAAAACCAGTTCTGAAAATACAATGTATTTTCTAAAGTTGCATTACTCAGCTCTATGCAACAACCTCCAAATTTATTCCTTATTTTTAAAGTACTCAGTTCCACTTTAAAAATTAAACAATTACAATGTTTACTCCTCAGCATAAGACACAGGAGAGATTGACTCTTTATTTGTGAACACAATTATATTAATACAGCTCAATGCCTTGTTTCAGTTCTCAGTACATCTGAAGTACATCTTCCGTATATTAAAAACTCAGTTCTCTCTGAGACCCAGTCATTGAGTTGGCTCACAAAGGAGATTCAAATTATCAGATCAGAAAAATTTTCAGGTTTGCCATATTTGCTTTAGTATTTCCTAGACTCATACTACAGCTTTGTTTCAAGTATGTTTCAAGGCGGCTGACCTGGAAGCTGGTTTCATATTTTGCATTTCTATAATACAAATATATCCTTCCTAAAACTACAGTTAGTGACCCAAAAGACTTTCCAGACTTTCTTCTGTGTTCTGTTGCTTGGTCACTTTATGTTAAGACATATTTTCTACATTTTCTTTAACAGAGAGAAAAAACACTGCCTGAAAATTAGATATCTAACTCAGCTCTTTAAATAGCTTCAGAGTAAACAACAAACACATGCACACATCAGTAAACTCTCTTCAGAACAAGCACACCAAATTATTGATTGAAAAATACTTCTGGTTGGGTTTTTTCCTTTCTGGATGCTTCAATTTATAAAAAGAGCAGAGAAGAGAAACTCACATACCTCAGCCCAGAACTCCGCATATATATCGTTGGCTGTCAGCCTGGTAACTGGCCACAACTTTGTTACAGAACACAAATCACAAGCCGTCATCATCAGGCCAATCACTCTATCTCTAAAATAAAATAACATTACATTGTAAGAATTAATGATCACTCTGCAAGGTTTTTATTTGCCCTTCCTCAGGTCAATCATCAGTAATGTATATATACTACATTACTTAGCTTGTTTCTTCCTCACTTGCTTGTGATTCATTGGTAAGGTACGGTACAAATTGTGAACTATATTCCCCATTGTATTCCCTACATTGTTTGCAACCAGAGTTCACTGACCATTTCCTACACAATCACATACACAGACAAGTCCACAGAATGTCTGCCTGCTAAGATATTCACATGCCCCCCTCTAATTTTCTGAAAATGCAGTATAAGTCTATTAAAAATAATAAAAAAAAAAAGGTGGTATATCCAATTGCTGCATTTCTTTCTGTTCTTTAGAGAGGACAGCATGCTCCATATAAGAAAAAAAATTAATTCTGAGTCTATTTCAAGGTACTCTGTCATTGCTTTGTTGGAACGAACTTGAACCCTGACAGAACAAGAATCCTGCACGTAACTCTGTCTTATACACTGACAAACCTGTTCAGAGTAACTGGCATCAGTAGGATTATAATTACTATTAGAATAAGACACACACAGACACACACAAATCTCATATAATCAGTTTTCTAGCACTTGTCTACTGTGCAAACCTATGGTTTGTGAATTTAAATTTTATAAAGCAAACTGGCAAATTAATTAAAGAATTCACATGTTTTCTATTCTGTCAAGAAATTAAGATGACCCTTAAGGACACCTGCATCATTGTTAATAATACCTATTCCATGTAAAAAAGCATAGAGCTTGTTAACTTGCATGCAAGTGTGATGGAAGTAATTAAAACTGTACTAGCAAACAAATATGCTGGGGAAATACACAAATACACAATATAATCAATAGATAAATGGCAAAGCACAATTCCCCTGAGTTAAGATAGAGGATTCATCAGCCACATAAGGGTCAAATTTAGTTTTTCATTGCACATACAGTACTAACAACAAGTCTTAGATTTGTTGGCCACATTAAAAACTGATGCCTATCTTGTGGTTTTGAACTGAAAATGCCCTGAAGGGAGGTAAGATTATTAAAAATATAAACATAATAGAATATTCAATCACACACTAAATAGTTGTTATCTTATTAAAATTTCGTAAACCCTAAATTCAAGATTTCTGGTAAATTTCATTCTAAGATTTTCAGGAGCTGCAATGTCTTTGTCTTTTTAAGATGTTGAGGTTTATTATTATCTGATGTTTCAGTTTCATACTAGAATAGCTTTCTCAAAAGCTATTTTTCCTACAGGGCTATAATGATTTATTCAAAACTACTGGCAAAAGCCTGTAAAACTCCTCAAAAGAAGACCAAAGAACAAAAGTTTCTTTTGAAAAGAAAACAGAATCATGACTCACTCTTTCCTCATATTGCCTCCCTAATTTTTCCATTCATTAGATTAATGACAGGATCCACTTTCGAGTAAAGAATCTCTGAAGGTGCTTTAATGCAGCCTGTTATGAGATACATCTCTCATCCAGACTGCAGTTTTGCTTTTGTGGACAGTCATGTTTTTATGAATATGAATATATGCACTTTTGTATTTCTTAAATCTTAGAGCTATCTTAACTCCCAAATGTTGAGGTCTGACCACAGTTTCTCCCTAAAAAGAATGTTGACAGAATACTAAAAATATTGACATAAAAATAAAACAAACTAATTACTGCAGTAGGCTTTTTTCCCCAACACCTAACTGCTTATGCACTAAAGTTTCCTCTGCAAATTATCTGTCACTGAACTGAGCAGATAATATCCAAAGGCAGGGTCGATGCAAATATACACAACGGAAATCACTGTTATATATTTGGAATTATACACACTGCTGGTCTTAAAAATCACATATATAAGAAAACTACTGTTCAGAGACAATTAAAAAAAAAAAAAAAAAGGTTTAGCCCTCTAGATTAATGCCATAGGGATCTAATACTAGTTTGCAGATTTACCTGTGTGCTTGGTTCTTAAGGTTTAATGCTCCTGTCTGATGCAGCTCTTCAAGTTGTTTCCTATTTCCAAAATACAGGGCAAGGTCTGTGGCAATGATGGCTTTCCGGATGATCTCAAGTACTTGCTCATATTCACTGGAGCTCAGATTGGAGAAGACATTGTGCCCTTCCAGCTATGAAAAAGTAAAAAACCAATAAAAAGCACAAGCTCTAATTCTGAGATGATTTCAGTCTTCACCAGACAGGTTACAACGGTTTTGCAGCAGTTTACCCAATGACAAATTTTGATGTAAATTCAAATGTTGACAGCCTGAAATTCCCATTTTTATCTTTCCTTTTTAAATATTGCCTAGAATAAAACCTATGACTAAACCATTAATTTGTTTTTGGGACTGCTCCTTCTGAAGCCTAAAGGTATTACTAGAGAAAAATGCTAGCTTTTTCTTCTCTGATTTATAAGTATTACAGACACAGTGCCAGACAGTGTTAGCTTGGAAACTTGTGGACCAATCCTGGTCCAGAGTACTGTATGGTCAAGTTGGTAAACTGAGTGCCTGATTCACTTTAGCACAATTTTGATACTGCGTAACATGTAGTATGAATAAAGAAAAAAAGTTGAAAGTACTAAATAATTTTCCTAATGTTGCAAATGAAATGTGGCTGAAATTGATGCACTTTCTGACATAATTTTCCATACAGAAATAAAGTTAATTATTTTAAATATAGAAACATCTAGGGGGAAAAGCTGTTTTGTTCAGCCTTGAGTTGACTGATTCATAAACTAAAGACAATGATTTCCACTACGGAAGTTCTGGTAACACACCACTGTTGTCCCTTTTCAATTTCCTCTATATATTGCTGAGCATTTAACTGACAAGATCCATGCATTGTGATGGCTCAAGAAGCTATATCACATTTTGAAAAGTCAACACTATTCTCTAAGATTTGGAAAACAACTTGTCAAAAGTCTTCCTACTGTTCAGAGGAAGCAGAGAAAAATAAAAAAGAATGAGCCAGCCATGTCAAGGTGTGCATATTCAGAAACAGAAAATATTGTTAAAAATATATCAAATACAGATGCGTTTTGACATTTAATTGGCATTTGGGCTGAAGCTCATAAAAAGTTTCCCTGACTTTCATCAAGCATTTACATAATTTGCTCAAAATAAATCCTCTGCGGTACAATTAGGCCTGGTTTCTTTCACCATCCGGAACGTAAACATCACTTTCCAATATTTTTACTTAGACAAGTAGATTTGTTTGGAATAATGAATAGAAAATAAAATCCATCTATGTCTCAATGCTCCTCTGACAGATTCCTAAGTCACAGAATGTGGTGTTTTTTTTTAAAAAAAAAAAAAAAAAAGAGTTCAGAACCTTTTAACCTATCATTAACATTTTGGGAGCAAGAAATTACTACTATGGTTTTGGGGACCCTTTCCTCCCCAAGCTTTCTGTGTAATCCCTTGAGAACAAGATTTGTCCTAATTTGTCCTATTATTTAACTTATTCTAGATTCTACTCTTATGCTTTAGAAGCTGCACTCAGAAAGACCCCTGTGACAGCTTCTATTCATACTACTAGAAAAGAACTGATTCTGTTAGGTGCTGACAGAAGCTGCGGAGTTGTGAGCATGTCACTTAAGCTTTTGAGCAGTACATACAAAGCACAACTCCCAAGATTTTGTTCTTTCCCTGCTGAGCTAAAGCTAGTGAATAGAATCCTTCCAATTCCTAAGTATGATGTCCACTAGAACTGCAGGTGAATGAGCAAAGCAGCTCTAAAGTTTAAAGTACTTAAAAGTACTGTAGGTTCGTAACATAAAATTAAAACTCGTTCAGATAAACCCTGAAGAAGTTGTTGGGTTGGTTGGCTTTTTTCTAACAGTCCAGGAATTCAGTAAGGCTTTTTGATTCAAATGAAAAACAGAAAATTCAAAAGGCTGCTCTAATCTGCCTTTGCTGCTAATTACCTCCCATGGGGTGCTTTGGTAGCTGGTGTCTTGAATCCAATACATAGCCTTGACCACTTATCCCCCCCTTTCCTCACTCACACTAACAGCAAGCCTAGGGGGTAGCAGGGAAGCAAAAGCATTCCTTGCCTTCTTGGAAAATGGGACTTTCATTGATTACAACATTTCTGCCCAAAAAATGCAAAATGGTTTGGACAGGGAAATGATAATGACTGAGGAACATGCTCACTGCGCACGATGCACATGAGGAATGATCACTAAACATCTAATGCCATGCCACCACTGAAGGATTCAATTCTACCCTAAATGAAGGAACATTCAGAGATAAAGCTTCTATTCTGTGATTAAATGTGTATGATGCCTAAAATCATAATCACAAGATGTGCTTCTGAATACAGTAGAAATATGCATTTTTCCTAAAAGGTTAATAGGTATTTAAGAAAATAAATATATTTTCCTTGAAAGACCACAAAGAAAGGTTAACAATGAATTAGTGGCATAGTAGCATGGTAAGGCTGTGCATTGAGTGTCTGCACTGTAAATTAAAACCAGTCAGCACAAAAATATTATGGACTGGCAGTTGGTTTCATGAGTGAGAGTTCTCACTCTTCTAACTGAGCATGAAAAAATAAAAAAAATTTACTAATGAAAAAAACCCCTGTGTGTCAATAGCACACCTGGATTTCCCAAAATGTGTCTGAATGCTTTCTTGTAGTTTTGTCTTCATTAAACAGACACATGACCTCATATTAGGGGCTCTTTCACAGAATATTACCTTATTCATTTTTTTATTTCAAATTGCTGAGTAACAAAGAAGCACTGAATAACATAATGAAATACATTTACAATTTTCATGCGTGCAAAATTAACATTTACTCTTTCATGCCACACATTTAATGTTCACAGAATTTATTACAGCAGGTTTTCAAGCTTCTCATGTGAAAAAGCCTCAGTACTAGAGGGCTTTTTCAGAATTTCAGGATTGTTGAAGACTTTTTTGAAGTACAATGTGATGGAAATATCTAAGTGAGAAATTGATTTTTCATTTTCAAAGTTCCTATTCCACATGGTCACAGCAAAAAGTCTCACTGACCCAGAAGCTAAGATCTCCAGAGGAAGGCCATAAAGCAAGACCTTCAAATATACAATACTTTTTATAACCTCAAGATTTTGAGAAAGCTATGTTTTGCATGATTTTTGAATGTTTGAGTTGCTAATTGTAAAACCTGGTTTGCTGTAATAAATTTTTCATTCTTCTAAATGAGTACTGCAATCCAGAAACTAAATTAAGCATGCTTCAGAAAATCTACTGGGCAATGATGTGATTCCTGTTTTCACCACTGGACTCTACTGTACAGAAGATACAATTTCAATATTCCTACCTGCAGGATGGACACAGTCTGCGAGAAGTGGTGCTGTTCCATTGTTGACGTGGAATAGAGAGCAGCTAAGGGGTGATCAAATTTCTGAAGATAGCTGTTGCTGTAACCTCTGTGATCCAGGTCATGACACAGGCATGCAACTAAAAGACCTTTGCGCTACAAAAAAGAAGTTGACATAAGCATGAAAAGCAAGATGTATTTTCTGCCCCTAGATGTCACTCTCTACCCAAAATACTGTAGGAGCTGCACTATGCTTACACTGCTTTCAAAAAGCACATGGAGAGATATCCTTAAAATTGTGAGAAACATGACAGTGAGGATGTGCTGAATTAAAGTTCTTAACCCAACTGCAACTCAAGTCTTTTATAAATTATGCATTTAAAAACGATTGTTGCACAAGTACAAACTATTGAATGGACTCCTCTTCAGCAGAAATCTGCATTTTAAACAGAGTCTGGTCATCCACTGACTCTTCATCATGTTTATTAAAACAAAAAAAAGCACAGTTATTGGGTTAGAAGGAACATAAAGATGTATCATGTCCCAGTGAAGGCAGCTGCACCGAAGTTCAATCCTAGACCTGCTTCTGCAACACTCCTCAAAGACACTGACCAAGTCTCCCAGTTGAAATTTTTCCTAAGAAGTCACTAATGTGAGTCACAATTGCTACACAATGACAATTGCAAAAAAAGACAGTAACTGACTTTTCTTCATTTAATTAACCCTTTATATCCTGATGAAATGGAATCCCTGGAATCTCTCTTTTAACACACAAAACACATGAAGTCTTGCAAAAGGTTTTCACACGCAGGTGTGTTTTAAAAACAAATTAATTAATGTTTATGAATTTGTCACTATCAGAACAGAGTATCATGAAAATATCTTTATACACCTAAGAGCTGTGTCTTATAGCTGGTTCTGATGAGTGTTCAGTAAACAAGGGTAAAATGAGGCAGAAAAAGAATACTGATTAACCACCCATTACGTGAGCAACGTCCAACCTGTACACTGCACTAACAGACAAGAATCTGAGGAAAAATAGCAAACAATGATGTAACTAAAGACATTATTATACATATGCAATGTGCAGAAATAAGGTTGCAGCAACTGTAACTGTATTTCTGATTTTGAGACATTCACTTTTATTTAGAATGATTTCTTTTCAATATTGCAACTTGTGAAGTGCATTTCTAAGAAATGCATAAAAACCCCAGATGATGCAGCAGCCCATGTCCACACAGATCCTCAGGAGAAGTGGAACCCTTAGGAACATAACACACAGCTCTATCACTTGAAGTCATGCACTAACAAACTTGTCCCAGTCTCCAGGTCTCAGGAAGTCATTATTGTCAGTCCTTCAGGATTAGAAAGTGCCTAATGACAGTGCTCTTGATCTGGTACACATTGTCCCTGCTTGGATCCCAATTCTTTCACCACTGCAAACTGTTGAATCTATTTGTCTGTAGATCAGTGTCTCCCTTAGAGTGTTTTATACTTTTCTTTCCAACTCGTAGTCTACTGATTTTCATGTCACCATCCCTCACCTAAGACCAGCCCATCCTAGTTCCCCAAACTTTCCTTCAACAGTTTCCTATATTCTTGTTGGATTCCTCTGCAGTACCAAAAAAGGAGACTGTTCAAAAGAGCTGGTATATAGACTGGTATAAGACAAACAGATGAAGGCTGCCTGGACTTTCAGAGAGCAAAGACTGTTTCCGTCTCTCTTAACAGCTGTCTCTTTTGCTCTCCTTTCTTTCTCACTCTGCGCATTCAAAGAGATGAACTTACTACTTGGTTAGTACTGAATGTTTTGTAGATTTAAATATTCCCTGAGGCTCCTTTTCACAGACTTTGTTGTTAAAAGAATACTGATTTTTTTTTCAAACTTGTATAGTTTTGCCAACTTTCAGCATATGCCTGGCAAATGCCATTTTCATATTCCAGTGTCAATTTTTATGTCCCTGATTTACAGCAGGATAAAGTAGACCTTTTAAAGTGAAAGCTCACCAAATTTCATTTTACTCTTATACAGTGAACAAAACCTACTAGCATGTTTCCTTAAAAGAGCCAAACAATTTTGTCTGAAATTTCCCCAAATGAATCAGCTTGAGGAATTTAAGAGCTTGGAAAATTACAGCCCAAATGACTAGTATTTGTCAGTTATACACAACTCAAAACAGGTTCTCCCAGTCAGAAGTTTCATGTAACATTAATAAGAGACAGCACTCCCAGTTGTACTTACCATAAATCAGGAGAAAAACAATTGACAGTTCTTTATACTGTGTGTTAACAATCTAAGCCTTCCACTTTATTATTATATCTTTTCCAGTTGGTAATTTAATTTAAAGTTTGACTCTTCTCCTTTACTCACATATGTCAACCATCTCTGCAAACCTCATCCTCCTATTCAGGATCCCCCAGACTTCATAGGATCCAAGATCCAAGGTGTTTCCCTCCCTCAGAACAGATCCAACACAGTTTAATTATTAAAGACTGTGGTTGTAAGTGGGCAGTGAGAACCTCAAAATTTGGACATGGACTTACAGCAAATCTGCCACAGCTTTTTCAGGAGCAGACTTGAAAAATATGTCTAGAATTAGGAATCTGATTAATTCTCCTTCCTCAGGCTCTCTACTCACATCCATTCCTCTATGGGGACCTTGACATACACTCTCCCCAAGCTGACAAAAAAACTCTAGCATAGAAAACGTACTTGTATGAGAGTTGATAGCTCTGATGAGGTGTAGTAACTGATACCATCCTGTCACCTACCTCTAGATCAGTGAAAAGCCCCTGGTTGTTCTGTAGTATGGCATACATGCAATGTGCAACGGTAACTGCATGCTTCCAGTTGTGGTAGGGCACACGGCGATAATTCTTCTTTACAGACATAGTAAATCGGCACAGCTTTTCAAGTTCAAAGCTAGAAAGAAATTAATTTGGTCAGAGACAAGAGATATGAACAGGAAAAACAACCAACAGAGGAGAAAAGATGCTCTTTGATTTACTTTTCTTGCTAGGATTGACTCTCACTGTGGATGGCTCATTGAATGACATCAAGAGTCATGCATAGAATCACAGAAGCAACTGGGTTGGAAAAGACCTCCAAGATCATCAAGCCCAACCCTTGATCCAACACCACCGCGGTTATTAGACCATGGCACTCAGTGCCACATCCAGTCTCATCTTAAAAACCTCCAGAGACAGTGAATCCACCACGTCCAAGGCAGCCCATTCCAATATTTGATCACTCTCTCTGTAAAAAATTTCTTCCTAATATTCAACATAAACCTCCCCTGGCAGAGCTTGAGACCATGCCCTCTTGTCCTACTGCTAGTTCCTGGGAGAAGAGACCAACCCCCACCTGGCTGCAACCTCCTTTCAGGTAGTTGTAGAGAGTGATGAGGTCTGCCCTGAGCCTCCTCGAGTGTGGATACCTGACAATGATCTTAGTTTAATCTGTTAAGGAACATAAATCATGCTACCCAGATCAGTCAACACAATTACATAACCTTCCCTGCTCCCAGAAACTTAAAAAGTAATTTTTTAAAATCGTTTCTTGAACTTGAAAAATAGTGAAACTCTGCATGTAATGGACAATTTGAAAATATGATTTGTGATGAAAATAGAAAATTCAGGTTTTTTTAAGCAAAGGACACAGAAGAAATCAACCTGTTCAAATAGAAATGCTCCAATGTTGAAATTGGGAAAAAAGGAAGACATTCTTTTTCAGATACTTTTAGATTTTTTTTTTCCAGTTTGGCCAAACAGAACAGAAATTCACATTTCACTGTTTATTCACTTTTCACCAAACAACACTTCGTTAAGTAACTTCCAGTCAACCATATAAATGCCCCAAAACTATAGCAATTAGGGGATTATTTCTTGCAAGATTTTCTGATATATTTTTGCTTTTAATATAGAAAAGCAAAATTAATTTAGGAACAAGAGTATTTTCACTGAGGTAATAATAAAAAGTAATAAAGTCGTCATTATGTTTGGCTCATCAAATATGTGCTCATCAAAAACACCTTTGAGATAGTTCACATGTAGTATCAGAGTTCTGCATAGCCTTTACTAGACTTCATCTACCAGTGCTCCTTTGAAAGGAAAGCTAAATACCTTTTTGTTTAGGTAGGAACAGGATAGGAAATCAGATAGGAAATTCAGGCACAGATTAGGTATCAGGTAAAATTTTCTAAAATACCTCCTCTGAGCTGCACGGGGTGAAGAAGGAAAATTAAACCTGAGTCCAGAATTTAACTGCAGATGTCGCAGTCCCAGGTCATTGACTCTTTATCTGATCTGATTAAAAAGATCAGTTTTCCCTTGATCTCATTTTTTCCCCTGTTACTGGGGTTTGACTTCCTTTTACGTTCCATGTTTTGATAATTTCTTGGGTATATCAGGAACGAGGTGCTAATGTTGTAGTTTCGCAGTACATGAGAGCTGAGAAAAAAAAGCTGAACATCTCCAAGCTATACGTAAAAATGTAAACATATCTATTGCGTGGAGCCAATTCTATAGAAATACATAGTTGTATAGCTGTATGCTGAGCGAGGTCATTATTATTCTTATCCTTAGTCAGACATTAGTAAAACCAGAGGCATATTGCCTTTCAAAAAGTTTTAGGCTTTCTTTTTTTTAATTCTAGAAAGTCGGAAGTTCTAGAACAATTGATAGAACTATTGTTTAAAGTAGTACATCATAATTCAGAATATCACAATAGTAACTTCCATTTACATCCAATATCAATTCAATGGTCAACGTACATAACAAAACCATTATAGCTAAAGGGAAAACCAGTGTCAATGATGCCTCAACATAGAATACTATTACTTCCTCCAGTGATGCATTTTGTATACTTGATCGAAGCAGTAAAATATTATGTCTTCAGAGGAGCAAAAAAATATAATGAGTATTATAGACTTTTGTTTGAAATACTCTCTGGACTCTACAATTACACATTTTATAGGTACATACTTAAAGACACAGCCTTACTCCTTAATATACTAAAAATCAAATTTTTGTCTTAAAATATTTGTAATTGTTTCAAAGGGTTGAGAAGTTTTGTTCTTTCAGAAATTAAATACAAGTCCAGTCCAAACAGTCTCCTTTTCAAATATTTTCCTCATTTTTGTTTCTTTATATGTGAAAGCTGAGACCCATTTGAAAAACATCAAGTAGGTATTATTTTTTTCTCACTGAAGTCACACTTTGAAAGGAAGAGACTGGGAGTCAGAGAGGGAAGAGAACAGAACCTAGCTGAAAATCTGAGCCCCTATCCTGCATCCACAGCCATTCAGTCAAGAATGGAAACAATCTAACTGCACTGAGCACTAGAGAACTGTATTTAGAACAGTCACTCACTTTGCAGCATTGAGGAAGACAGAAAGACCCACCCAGTTAGTAAGATAAAATGAAGTACCAGCAAATATTTCCCAAATGTTGCTCCCTTTTGTAAGGAGATACTTCCCCTTTCAATTGACTACCTACAGATTTTTTTCCATAATTCTGAGTAGTTCCCTTCTTTAAGTAATGGGACATACTCAGCCAAGAGACTACTGATCTTAGTAAGGATAATGGACACTGAAGGGAAAATAAATGAAGCATTTAATTTGAAAATAATTCACTTCCATAATTAACGCACAACTACACAAATAACTGATTCATTTAGCATGATAAGATCTAACTTTGGTTTATTTTTACCATAAACTCTATTAATTTCAGCAACTATATATTTGAAAACTCAGTATTAACAATCCTCTCCTTTTTGTCAAGAATGCCTTTAATATCTTCACCATCTTCTATCTGAAAAGTAATCTCATCTCAGAACCAAATAATGCTTCTATATTTTGGAAGGATCACTGTTTGAATGATATCATGAGTTCTTTAACCTGACTGTTCCCAGATTTTATTAACTGAAGACCAAGAGGCTGGGACAGGAGATCCAGCTTGCTTATTACATCCCTGTACAGAATAAACATAGTACATAAATGTCAAAGAAAATAGACCTTGAATTAGGAAATAATTATCTCAAAAATTATTAATAATAAACCCCCACAGAAATAACACAATTAAAGCAATAAACCATATACTTCATACCAGGCTGTCCCACAGGACTGGTGAACCATGTAGACAAAAATGGCAGGCCAGACATCCTCATATGGACTGATATCAAAATGGTATCTAAGAAGAAAATTTCAGCTTAGTAAAGACAAACACCTTTTCATTCTTACTAAAAGCAGGTGAAAATGACTCGGTAATGCATACGCAGCAACATTCACTTGTTTCTGAATACACACAGAATACTGAATTTATAGGCTGTATTTTACAGTAACATTAAGTTATATATTTCTGCTAAGGTCAATGGAACCATGCTCATAGGATCATAGAATCATTTAATCATTTAGGCTGGAAAACACCCTTATGATAGCGTCCAACTGATTTGCTTTGTTTAGTTAACAGAAACATAAATTTTTATTTAAGGATTCACTTTTTAAGTAATTGACAAAAAATCTCAGGGATTATGAGGGTTTTACAGGCCCTCCTAAAGCATTCTTTTCTCCCAGGAATTGTAAACAAGGTGTCTCTAATAATATATTTACTGGCCTTCTTTTTCAATAATTTCTGTCACAAATTGTGTGAGACTTGCTTTAATTTTGATAGAGGAAAAAACTAGTTTTTACTGGCTAATAGAAATCAAGACAAAACTTAAAAAATTAAACATTCAATAACACATTTTTTATGTTTCATTAGCTGAAGACTTCTCCTCTCTCCTGATATCAATATTTGGGCCTAATATTAGGGACTTGGGACAGCAGGACTGTTTGTCCCTGGATTTCTTAACCCTTTCCCTGTGCCTTCTGTGCTTCAAGCCCTCTATTTCCTCTCCCTGGAACTCAGCTAACCACTTGCATGTAATGTGGCATAATGAACAGCACAGCAGGTGTGAGACAGCAGAAGGTAGCTGAATTGCTTGGGAAATGCTTAAATGTATTCAGATTGCTTGAACTAGGGGATGATAATATAATTTAGAATGAAATCTGTCATCTTTACAAGTAAAATTCATTTTTTATGAGGAGGTGGGTTATATAATATCACCTAACAAAGCACAAGAAATTGTATTGCAAAGAATAAGCAATCCTGCAAGCTGCTAATACTCTGAAATTAAAGTAAATCACTTCAGCATGTAATGAACTTTAACTATAAGCATTCCCTGTTAAGCACAGGCTCACGTGCTTTGTTCGCTCACAGCTACAGTGCTCAGTGCTGAACACAACTGAACAAGTCTGGAGATTTGATTTACAGAGACAACTTAGATTTTGTGACTCAGTAGCTGACTTCAGGCACCTGGTCACTAAAGCAGAATTTACTGTCCTGGACCAGAAAGACTGACTAAAAAATATGATGACTCACGTTGTTAGCATTGAGTGGGCACTGACAATAAAATACAGATAGAAGTACATCTTCAGCACATGGCAGATACTGAAGAGCTGAAATTAACTGAATTATATCAGAGAAACACTAAGAGGCTGGATGGGAAGTCCTCCTCTAAATTTAGGTTGCAACTCTAAACCCTAGCACTTGGGATTCATAATCCTGAATTATCATTTTCCCCTCCTTCAAGAAGCACAAGCAGATGTACACACACATACACACTCAAAACTCACAAAAAAAACAAACACCCCCTACACCATCTACCAACCCAAACCCAAAAAACAGAACATTCTAGGAACAAGCTAGGATGCATGTATTTTATTCTAAATCATATCCAAGGGGATGACATCATGCATTTGGTCTTAAATACTGATGTTCCAAGTTCAGCCTCCTCTCTGGCTTTAATCTGACAGTGACTTGGGACTATCAGAAGGAAGCTCAATTCTACAAATCCTAGGTAACAACTAATGATTAAAGCAACTACCATACCTATCCATGCCTGTGGAAAATGCTGCCATTCTGAGAAGATATTATTTTATATATTTGAAAGATAAATTTCGTTCACAGGTCATTAAGTATAACTAAGAAAGCTAGAGATTAAACTCCATGATATTTTGATAATTCAATAATAAAAGTGCTTCCTACAAAACACTCCACTACAAATAGGAAAAAAACCCTGTCTTTTTACCAGCCTGATACAAGATACCATTGTAGCTATATAAGAAAAATACTTACAGCTCAATTTCTTTATAAATATGTGGAGGCAGTGTACAGTGCATGAGGTTTTGCCACTCTTCCGCTGTACAAACACTATGGTATGATAGCTTCTCCATTGTTACACGATAAATACACTCTGAATGACGAATTCTGTGGTACATCTGAAAAAGGGAAGTCATTATGAATGTGAAATTTTAATAAAGGAAAAAAAAATTCCTGTATTCAAGCACTGATTATTAAAATACACATCTGCAAAAATGTTAGTGCATTTGGCTACACAATTTCACACATTAGAAAAGTGACAGATTATATGAAATTCAAGAGTTCTGGAAAACTAGGCCTTCTATCACATCATTCTGCATCTGTTCACTCAGGTAAACATCTAAGGCTCAGCTGACATTCCACTGCATGTGAGCTCTCCCAGGAAAAAGACTCAAAGTTCAGGAGTCATAAATGCTAACAGAGAGAAAACCGGTAACAGGGCACAATTCTTTTTTTCTGCCACTGCATGAATTCAGCTATTAATTGGTACAAATTCAGCTATTAATTGGTACAAATATCTGGAGCAGTATGCCCTGAATGGTAACATTCACCATCTGAAAAGAGTGAACTCACACACCACTGAGTGATTGCAAAGTCTCAAGTATAATTTATATGCAGGCCTTTCTACTTGCATCGACCTGTATGAAACAACTTTAAGTAACTGCTAATAAAATTTTCTGCCCCAGTGTATCAACAACACGATGCTGGTAAAATCACTTAACCTAAATCAACAGGCTTAACTGGCACTGCATTGTATCTTATCTCCCATGAATATACACAGTTTTTCTGCACTGCATTTTTATTAAATTTATTGCATTTTTATATTTATATAGTAATGATCATTAAATGTTTATGTATCCTACAGGAATAGTAATTTTTGAGAGGGTAAAGGATTTGAGGACAAAAAAAGCTATCCACTGTTCTCTAGAAGCATGGATAATTATGAGTATATACTATAGAATATAAAGGTATAAATTGATCTCTGAGTATTAAGCATATGGAATTGAAAGAATGCATAGCAACTCCATCTCCCAGTTAAATTTGCAAAACATGTAATCTGAACTTATAACAGTAAATAAGAATCATACTTTCTAAAGGAAAATAGAAGACAGATACCATTCATATTTCAGAGCTTGCTCTCTCACTTTAGCTACTCAAAATTGATGTTTCCAGAGTATGTTTATTCCAAAAAGGGTCAAATGAATCCCTTAAAATAGAATTATTCAGCAAGGAATTCAATGATTCCTGTTTTCTTTTTAATTCAATAAACCACATTATGAATCATTTTAATAATATGCAACATCAAAATACCTAAGTATTCCCATTATAACTAACAGTTTTAAAAACTGTAAATAAAACTTACATTAGCACAGTGTAAGGCTAAAGCACAAAAGACTGCAAACATTTTAAAGTTGTTCTCATCAGTTTTAGAGAAGGCACTTCCACTTATTTTGTTCACCATCTGCACAACACCTATTACACTTCCTCGGCTTACAATAGGCATGCACAGGATATTTCTGGTTGTGTACCCTGTGTAGAGGTCTACTTCTCTGGAAAGCCATAAAAGAGAAAGAAAAAGAGAAAAGAATTAGTATTATCAATTCATATCTATTCCTCGATTCTCAGAAATGTTGATGACCACAATAAAGAATTGTTTGAAAGCAGTTGTAATTAGTACATCCAAGAATTTCACCTCCAAAGCCCTCAAATATTTCCATCTACTGTGTCATACTTAGAACTTTTTAATCCTTTAATCTCCATTTTCAAGGTAAAAAAATAATACTTCCTTAAACAGAGAGTAAGCTTTTTCATAAATATAAAGAATATTCAGCTATTTTAGGAATGCCATTTGTTAATCAGCTGTTTTTTCTCCCCTGAAATTAATCACATTGCAGGGAGACTAATAATGAAAGTTGGCAACAATCTAAATTTTACTCCACTATATTTATATTTGATAAAAACAATATTTTTTATTTGTATCTTAAAAATATCTCTGATGGTTGAAGCAGGTTGCCTCCTCATCAGAGGATCACAGCTCCATGAATCCATATGAATATGAAATTTAAGTGGTAAATTTAACTAAAAGGTTTGATGAGCTACCTTCCCCTACCACAAACAACATCCTACCTGTTAAAGCGTGGATCTGCATAGGCATCAGGGATGTTAAGGACTTCTCCTGTTCTTGCCACTTGACCAGCTATTCCTTTTTCTATAGAAAATCTGGAGAAAACAAAAATGTGTATCAGCCAAAATATGAGCTACCTGAAAAAAAACATTTTTCCAGTGGAGTCTGTCTCAGGCACAGTAACGGGCATTTGTTCCCAACCAGAGCCATTTTGTTGCTTTTGGGAGAAAAATCTTACAAGACAACAACTAGTAGTACATAACAAAATAAAAAAGCACAAACTAATAGATACTTTCTGAAAACATTGTATACATACATATGTATATATAAAACTAGTTCAATACGAAACATTTTATTATATGACCATTTTAGTGATGAAAATTCAAAATCTTCAATAACCCTGGAGGTTATCCCTGATAAGCATAACATTTGTACAGAATCTGAGACTTCTGTTTATCTTTATAAGGTATTGATTTTATTATCATTTTTACATATTCATTTTTTTCTCTAGACACAACACAGGTAACATGGAGCTTGTTTCTTCAGGTAGGGTGTGTGTGGATTTGGTAAAATAAAATTTGGAGAAAGACCAGAGGAAATTTCAAAGCTAAAAATTATATGCATTTGCTATGTAGACTCTGGAATATCTAGCCTGTTTCATGACACAAACAATGCCATGATACTAATTGCATCCCTTAATCGCCACAAGGAAACTAAACCCAACAAATATATTCTTGAGTTGAATCAATAATTTTCAATTCTTTGACATAAAGCAGTTATTAAATACAAACAGAACAGAACTTATGGAGAAAAATATGTAAAAAAAAGTAGAAAGAATAATCATATGTGGAACACTTTGAAGTGTAACTGTACCCTGATAGTACCCTGATCCCCATTGAAGTTAGTGATAAACCCACCAGGATCTCACGCTGCACACCTGACTTTAGGTTATTTTCTGCTGTTTCTTATGATAAGTACATCACACTAACTTAAGACACCTTTCTGATGACTCACTCAGTGTCACTTTCTTACAGATATTTAAGTTGCACTCCACTTTCAGATACAACATCTGTGAAATGGCTCACGCCTTGCACTCAGAATCAACATTTCAATAACATACAGAAAAGACAGAAAGATATAAACAATAAAAACAATTATCAAGAAGTATGAAAGTGTATGTCAGAGCAGGCCTTCTTTAATTTACAGCACCTTCTTGCTTGTCAGTATGCAAATTGCACCAATTTTGACTCCTTCCATTCTCACTCACACACTAGTAAGTGGGAGGTAGTTTGTCTAAAGGAGTCTAAGCAACAGCATGAATCACATCTCATACTAGCCCAGAACTTTAAAAGTATAAGGAGGAAATTTAAAAAGTTCTGATAAAATCCATGCTGAATATTTTAGCAAAATTTTAGAGCAAAATATTTAGTCATACGCTTCTTTCCTTTTAAGAAGCTGCACATCTGAAATCTGTGTGCCTTTGAAAATATTGATCTGTATCTATTAAGGACTCACAATTTTTTTTTAAGTGAAATATGCTATATTTATTTTGTTGTTTTTCTTCTTTCTTTTAAAAAGCATTTAAGTGTAAAAATTACATAACTGTGACATGAAGCAGAAATACACATAAATTTTAGGCAGAAAATCCTGTGTAGTTATTAACGGGCCATATACATTTTCAGATTCACCACTTCAAGCATACTTCAGTATCAAAATTTTTTAAAAGTTTCAAAATAATCTAAGTTCACATGAGAAAAGTAAAACTAAATTACTGAACTTGAAATCTTCAAAATCAGTGACCAGTCCATATGTCATTCTACACTTGTCTAGTCCGTCCACAAGAGGTACAAATTGTGATTTCCTTGCTTTGGATGTGCTTGAATCGCACAAATTTCAATTCCTCTTCGGAACCCTCTTGGGAAAAAAGTCCCAAACTGGCAGACTATGGATTAGGTGCACCATTACCTGCACCTTTACCTACCTCAGAACACCTCTGTTTTTTTCCCAACATGATTTCCAAAAGGACCGCCTCCGGAAGACGGCATTTCCAGGAGTGACGTTATAGCTTCAGAGACGTTGTTTCGATGGCACTGCAATGTCATTCCCAGAAGTACTACCTTCTGGAGGCGGGTCCTGGTGGGAATGATATCACAGTATGACAAGTATTGTCAGGGTACCTGCAGATAGGCACAGAAACTGGGTAATAAAATGCCTGCATGTCTGTAGTTACAATGAAGCTGCATTCTTCTGCTAGCTATTCTTACCTTATTTCTTTGGTCTTCTTGAAGACAGGTTTTCCATCATTTTCTTCTCCAATATCAAAAAGATCTGAATACAGCTCCTTATTTTTGTGGTCAACCTGGAAGAGTGCACACCTATCTGCATTCACCAGGTTTTTTGCATATATCTACAGACAAAAAAACAAAAGTAGGGTTAATGGTCATGAGTTAGATTATCTTCAGTCATTTTTCTGATAAAGACCTAAGTCACTGCAAGATAAAATTTTGAGAAATTAGCCACTACAGAAATCTGTTTGAAGGAGCAATCTTTGAGGAGACAATTGCAAATTGAAGCCTTATTTGATATTGTTTCTCAAATTAAAGGGTTCCTCTCTTTGAGAAATGCAGGGATATCTTTAGAGACTTGATTATTTGCTAAAAGAAAATGGTCTTTCCTATTAAATTGTTTTTCAAGCACAAAGAAGGCTTTTCAAAATAGTACCTTTCCTTCTTCTATGTTTTTATACTATTCATCTTGACTTGATTTTAAATAGAACACTTTTGGGTTTTTTGACTTCATCTTCAATGCAAATATATTGATATTGAATATCCAGCAAAGACAGATGTAAAAGAGAGGGTAGTGCTTGTTTCTAAAAAATCTAAATGTGCCTGTAATAAATAACAATTAACAAATGATCCTTGTGAGTCCCTTCAAACTCAGAACATTCTGTGACTCTGTGATTCTTTAATTAGAAGTGTCAATATAGATTGTCCTGCGTATGGATTTCCCGTGGGAAATGCCTGCACCCTCCTAATGCCAGGGACAGTATTTGTACAAAAGCTGAGGCTTAGTGATTTTACATGAACTAACCAAGCCCACAAGGTACCAGCCATAGTCAAGGAAGTACCACAGTACAGCAGTAGACTTGAATGGTCTCTATCATTCTTTGAAACAAGTTTTATCTTTGTGAAAATAACTGCCAGGAGCACTGAGTGTCAGAGCAGAATCTTGTCCTGGCAACACAGTAGCTCTTCACTGAAATATTTCTCTGACATAAAATGGCCTTTCTGAGAACAAGAGGAAAGAGTAAACCAGAATCAAATAAGGATCACCGAGGTAACTTAAGACGCCATATGCAGGCTCAAGAACCTGCTCTACCCAATTCAGATAGGTTTCTCATGTTTCCTCTCTGATTAGGATATACAGCAGTTGCATGGTAGAGCATGATCTGAGGTGGATCCTGCTCAGCTTTGTGTATAATAGCCACCTAGTTGTTCAGCTAGAGAAAGAGGCTGACATCATCTTGATGTGCAATGCATGCAGATGGCATGTCTTAAGAATTCACAAGACTTCCATATGAATGAGCTCTCCCACCCCTTTTCTCTTATCTTTCAAAAATAAAAACAAAACCATAAAGTATTTCATTTCACATGAATGCAGATAGACCTTGGCAGGAAAAAAAAAACAAACACCTATGAGATGACAAAAACTTGCAGGGCTCTCCCATACAGACAGAATTTGTGGCTGGAAGGATTCTGTTGTCTTCTACTACATTTACTCCATCAGAGCAGTAGAAAGTCAGAGAGACTGCAATCTAAGAGGTAACATTTGTGAAATTTTTCCCCCTCAGAGCATTAAGAAGTCTAAAGATATCAACCACTCACACCACGAGTGTGAGTGAATAGAACTGACAAAAAGGACAAAGGATCCAGTAAATGGTTCTTTACAATATTCAGAAACCATCAGATTTCTTTATAAAAACAGCAGCCCAGTGTTGATTTTATACAATTAAACTTTTATGCTTTTATGCATATCACTCAAGAACACACTTTGATCACAACTCATGCTTTTCAAAAATGATTGCTTAAAAACTACTAATTGAGAGAAATAGTTAATGGGATGAGAGAGTCTTACTTCTCTAAACCCCTAGCTCCAATCCAGGCCAGTGGCTGAAGGGGAGTATCAGTACAAAAATATGTTTTGCACTATCAATAGAGAGGCCAGGGATCAACTTTTGCATAAGCTGCTTGCAACTACTTCAAACATATTGGTAAGAAAATTTCTAAGGCAATGTGAACTTTTGCTTCCCCTCCTTAAATCTATATTCAAAACCACCATTATACCATTTGCTTCACTGGGAGACTTTAATGAAAATAATACCAAAAAGAATGGAAAAAAAGCCCTATATTTATTTCTTTATTATTGCAGGAATAAATCAAACCATAAGTGCAATCACCAAAGGGTGAAGTAGTGAGATGAAACTGAGTTCCACTCTTTTTCTCACTGTGAGACACAGAATAAGTCACATAATGATAAAATCATCCTCTCATAAAATGGCAATAAACGTAAAAACACATAATTCAGTTAATTGGTTCAAGAAAGAGAAGAAAGCTGAAAAGGAAGCTCAGTATGAAACATCACACAGGTTAAAATGCAGAATCACGATGCAGTCAAGTGTTGGAAAAGATGATGAAAGAGTAAGCATATTTTACTGCCAATTGTGTTTTCCACCAGATCTCTAATCATGGGGAGGAACAGGGAAGAATATCAATATTTGTTCTCAATACCATATGTTATGTTATACCAGTTTTTTTTAAATGTTAAGCTATTTTTAAGCAGTTCATTTAAATTGGAAAAGTCAGTGTTCAGAAGTGTGTCCTATGTGCAGATTTCTTGACTGTGTACCAACTAGAATAAGACAAACACTGCAGAATATTTTCCATTACTAATTCAAGTTTCTAAATAAAACCACTTTAATGTTGTTTGCATTCTAACTTTGTTGTCTTTGAATATTCTAGCTAAGAATATCACTTTGAAGACTGGACCAAGTATCAGAGTACTGTTGGAAAGTAAATTTTTGAATATGAAACTTTAAACAATGGTATCACAGACCTGATTCAGGTTTACATTAGGAAAAAAGAACTGAAGAATGTAATGAAAGCTAAAGCTAAAAAGCATAATTCACATATCATACACTCAAAATGTGCTACAAACAACCAGTCCATATGCCTTTTTAAACACTATTCAGGAAACAATTCTGAATTCAAAATTCATTATAATCTGCTACTGAACTGTACTTTAATTCACTAATTAGTTACTACAATGGAAATAACTAAGCACTTGCTTTAGTGGTTTCTATAAAACATTGACTGACTGACTAGCTATGGGTGTAGTTTTGTAAAGCAAAGGGATGCGGCGTCTTACACATCTCATTCAGCAACTGGAACAAATACTCTAGGAGTAATGTTTGACCTCTAGGCCTTGCTACAGACAGTAACTTCTTCAGCAGTGTTTTGCAGTATGTAGCATAATGAATTTAGGAAGAAGGAATCAATACAACAAGCTGAAACAAAAAGAAAACCAGAATTCTTTCCATTACAATGTTCAAATCTCTGAAACATTATTTAGTTCAGAGACAGTCAGGTTTCATTACTTATGAAAGTTGTGAACTGAAGCTGACCTTTGCTACCTTTTCCATCCCACATGTTAATACTCTTTGTATTATATGTTCATTACAAACAGCTCATATATTCCAATGACGTAATGTCTTCAAGGAAAGGACAATGAAGGACTTTAATAACTATGACTAACAAACTTAGAAGTGAAAAAAGACAACTTACCATTATATGTTCAAGTAGAGAATCTATTGCAACTATGTTATCAAAATACGTTCTGCAGAGAAAGAGAAGTCAGTAAGCATTCATATTTAGTTAAACACTTCTCAAATGGGTGTCACGGGCTCCTGTTTCACTCTGGGTTAATAGTGGAACCAGAATAAGTGAGGACAAAGCACTGCACCTTGAAAATTACTGACTGGCTCACTACAGCAGAAAGGAATTAAGAAATGGTCCTAGCTCTGTTTCCTTCCACAGTTATTCTACAGTGACAGAATTGTAGAATATTCTTCATTATACATAGAATTTTCTCTGTAAGAAAAGGAAAAGACTACCAAACATTGCCTACCACGAACTGAATAGGTCCTTGATGAAGAACACCAAGAATTTATCACAGTGCTTTGGCACGTATGACACACTGAAAATTTTAAAAGCAAATAGAAGAAGGAAAAAAAAAAGCGGTAGAATAGATTTTTAAAAATCCATTAAAATATCTCATTAGGTTTACCCATATTATGTGCTGAGAAATGAATAAAACTATGTAGTGTAGCTAAATCCACCACATATTATCCAGCTTTTAGCACTATTTAAAAGGCAAGAATTTAAAAAACTCTTAGTAAGTTTTCTATATCCACCCAGGTGCAGCTTGTTAAAGCTGAAGAAAGAGGATGATCTTTTAACTTAATAAGAAAGAAACTTGGTTTCACAGCAAAGTGGTAACTGTTCAAGGACAGTCAAGAACCTTGAAAGACAAAGGTCAAACTTATTAGTAAAAGAAGTCTAAATCTTCCACATGCCAAGTCTTAATAACCCTCGGATTACAATGTTCCCAGCAGAGAGAAAGGCATTGTCACATGGCCTTGAATATATATACAGTTCAATTCTGTTTGGGTCTGGTGGAAAGGAAATACATAATACACTAGTTTTACATTGTCAGGGACATGATGAGGTGGAGCACTGCATACTCTGCCCTTTCTAAAATATTACAGAACATGTCCCAGTGACATTGCACACTAACAATTTCCCCACTGAATAGGAGACCCTCTTCCCATGTAAGAAAAGGTTCAGACCGCTTCTAAGAGGAATGTAATTATTTTCCTGCTAGTATGTCTTTACCTACATGAAGATCATAAAGTTATTATTAAAAGATATCCCAATTTTGTTTTTCAAGACAGTTTTTTTTTGTTAAAGCTAAAAATTTCTAGCAATTGCTGAATACTTCTGCATGAGAAGTATTTTCTTATAGAAAGGCATAATAAAAATTTGCAATATTTATCATAATTTTTATCTTAAAAATTTAAAACAAAAAGTTCTTTAAAACAATCTCAGTACTATGCCAGTCCAAGAATAAATTGCCAGTCCATAAACCTGGGTAGATTAATCCAGAGATTTCTGGTACATTAGCTCAGTAAGGATATTAGCAACATAAAAGCACTCTGGAAAGGAACATAATGGTGCAAGACTCAGTAAGTGTGTCCTTTAGGAAACACACTCTGAATTATGCTGAAATAAAAAAAAATTAAAAAAAAAAAAAAAAAAAAGGTCTTCCTGAGGAAAAAAATAGGAAAAACATCTGGATACAACCAGCTTGCCCTCCTTGCAAGGGGCAGACTCCTCCCTGTGGTGTATCACTCCCCATTCCAGCTGGGTCAGCTTGGCTGCCTAAATTCCTGAGCAATGGCATAGGAATCTTGGACATCCTCTAATCTCATCAGTTTGAGAATTGTTCATCAAGACCCACAGAAGTGTTTGTAGAAAAAATTCAAGACATCTCATTTTTCCACAATATCATCAGTACTTTGTGATGCACTTAGAAATTCTTCTACCAACTAATTTCATGAAACACTGTTAAGCACCCCAGACTGTGACTTACTAAAAGTACAACTCTTGTTTGTCCTTTAATTTATTAGCTATTTTTTCCATTTAAAGATCCTAATAGCAGTGACAAACAAAAAGGGATGAAGGAACAGCAGATCGCTTCAGACACTAAACTGACTTTGCAAGTGTAAGCCCAAGCTTTCACACTCTTACTGTGTTTTCAATTTAATCTTGCCTTTATTGTCACAAGAAATTAAAAGCAACATATTACATGCAGTCACAGTCCTTAAAAATGAAAACAGAGGCTTCAGACAATGCAGGGGAAGAACAATCACATGGCAGCCCTGATTCTTCAAGTATTTAACCCTGAAGTCCTTCTATTCATGCATACATGTGTGTGTATACACACATGTCCAAAAAATTTTACCGGGGAGGGGGAGAGGGAAAGCTGAAGCATGCTAGCTAACTTTTCATAAAGTCCTTTCAAGCCTTCTAACATTACCATGAAAAGAGATACCAAGCCTATTTGTCACTTTTCAAAAGACACGTTTAACTCTGACAGAAGAGGTGAGAAAAGGCAAAAAAACCAAACCAAAACAAACAAACAAACAAACAAAAAAAAAAAAAAAAAAAAAAAAAAAAAAAAAAAAAAAAAAAAAAAAAAAAAAAAAAAAAAAAAAAAAAAAAAAAAAAAAAAAAAAAAAAAAAAAAAAAAAAAAAAAAAAACAAGCAAAAAACCACAAGAATAACCAAAATCTCTAAGGTATAATTGAATGTCACATTTTCTTCTGCACCATCACCAGAAAAGAAGTTTGAAAGGTATACACCACTGCAAACCATATCATTTGTTCTTGTCCCTGTGCTTAAGTTTTTCAAAGGGAGATTGGAAGATCCAAGGTAGGAAATGCTGTCACAATAAACTCATGAGATGCAAATCACACTTACTTCGATACGTCAAGCAAGAAGTCATTCAGTTCAGTCTGCTTGGCAAGGCCCCGGCACACCTGGAAGCACAGATCATAGAATCATTTGCACCAGAATACTGATGTCAGTGGGAAACTGACATCCCATCCACCTAATTTGTATGAAAAAAATAACACTACTAGTCTCTCTCTCTCTATATATATATGTTAGAACACTGTATAAAATTAAAAGCTGAATTTGTGAGCTGGGTTTCAATCTTAGCTATCTAGCTCCTGAGTTAAAACTCTCAAATGAAAAGTAAAATCTTTCTTAAGACTTTTTGAAAGCTGTTGGTTGTTACATTTGTTCGTGCCTCAAAGGCTGTCACTGAAAGTGGCTATGGAATCAACATCATCTCCTTTTCCAGAACCTCAGCTCTTCTGAGATTGTCAAATATTTTGTTTCCTTCCTTTCTCACCACACTTCTACCACTATTTTCCAGGTTGCAAAGTAGCATGTAGACACAACTGCAGACTGACATCAGGCAAGTTTAACTTTGCTAAGCAACAGATGATATATGAGCAACTTCATGAGAAATCATCATGAATATGAATATGAACACAAAAATAGTATGCATACTACTTTTTAGAACAAAAATGTTAGATGAAGTAAAGCCTTCAACTGCATTTTTACTTCATCTAATTGCATACTGTGTACCTGAAGTACAATTGTACATCTGTATATTACTAGAGCAAGCACTGAGGCCAAGAAAAAGCCTCTATTTGTACTTGTTCCTTTACACACAAAAAAATACCACTCAGAACTAGTAATATCTTTCATCTGTGTAATACAGATATAAAATGCCAGATCAAAACTTTTGCATTCTTCTCATGCAAAAACCTTGGGAAGGGCAAACCTTCTGCTTAGAAGGTGGCAGAGAAATGAAAGTGATCAATGGAGAAGCTTAAACTAAACTTTCCATGCAGTGTTTTGTAAGGTGTGAAAGACTTCTCAGTTAAGGGAAGCGTCATTCTTACAATCTAAAGCTACAACTGCATGCAATTGCAATTCTACTAGCATACAACAATCTATGCCAACAACAGTCTATGCCAACAAATGCTGCCTAAATGTGAATGACCATCCCAAAATCAGTGACTTCCAGCACCAAGGCAGCAAACATTAAAACCCAGAAAGGCAGAAAGCTTTCTGAAAGTCTTCTGACAATTGTATGAAAGACATCTTGAAAAAAAGAATGTCACGAACTTCCTCCTGTGAGTTGATGGAAGAATCTATTTTAGCATCTTCTCTGAGTTGACAGAATATGTTTAGCTTCAGTGTTATCATCTTCTGCTAGCTGAAGTAGCAAAACCTATTAGCAAAGCTGCTGGGGTTTGCTAGAGCAGCTTTGACGCTGTGTGAAGCTCCATTAGGCACCCAGCTAGGGACAGCGTGAGGCATCCTTAGTGGCAGTAGTTACAGGACTACGAAGCAGCTAGCGAGGATGGCTTAAAATAGGCTTTTCTAGCAACACCTAATAATTTTAACCTGAATACCAAAGCAGAAGGAAAGCAATCAGTTAGTCTATCAGTTGTATTCTTAGGAGAAAGAAAACCCTGCAAAGTTGTTATAAATCTGCTTTAACCAGAATTTTTCCTCTTTTGTTAAAATTTCTCCACTTTAGTATAAATACTGTTTATTATTTTATGCATAATCCCAAGTGAGGAAAACTAGCTCAATGAACACCAAAATGTTATCATAGTTTTCCCAGGTTCAGGAAAGGTGCTTGAATCCAAGTTTTAGCAGTGACCTCCACTAAAATTTGATCACAATCCATGTTCCTACTAATCAAATTCTGGCAGATGGGATACACAATAAAAAAATGAAAAACCAACCAGACTTACTTGTACTTGATGTATTGCTACTGAAGCCCATGCAAGATTTGCTGTTGCAACCTGCAACAAAAGAGAAGTAATTAGCTCTGAAGTAACCTTGAAAACTGCTCAACAGTTACATGCTGGTTTTCTCTTTCTAGCTGTGATGTAAATTGACTGAGCTGTTTTAGACAGGCAGGCAGTAAAAATTTGTGGGAAGACAGTTATTTTGTCAAAGTCTCAGTATACTTGCAAGTGTTTCAATTTTAGAGCTTACCAATGCTCTTCAGAAGCAGAATTGGGAACCCATCAGCTCAAAAACACAACATCAAAACAAACATCCCATAAGCCAAGGGCTTTAAAAATTACACTGCTGAAAGGCATCTGCCACAGAAGTTAAATATCCCTTAACAGCTTTCTGGGGCTGTATCTCTTCAGCAATAACTACTTCCAGCTGTAAACAGGCACTGTTTCTCTCATTACAGTTTTGGTGGCAGAAGAACCAGACTTGATCCCTCAGCTCAAGACTAGTGTTTTAAGTATGACAGTTTCCAGGCAACATTTCAAACAAATGTCATGTAAACTGCAGTTAACTATGATGTGCTACCATGCATAATCTCCTGTCCTTGAAACACAGGAGCTTTATAGGAACAGAGAGAACAGAAACACAAAAGGTCAGCTTCTGCATACCCTCCTAGGTACTTTTTTATAATTTTATATTTTTAAACAGAACACTTTGTACACATTTTATAAAAACTGCTAACAGTATCCAAAGGCTTTCTGAAACCTGAAAATGAAAAGAATGCTTTAGAACACTCAGAAAGTGACCTTAAAATATTTTTAATTTAGTAATAAAATACCTTCGTTTAGCAGCCAGCTCCAAGTAGAACATTCATGAACTTCAGTATGTGAATACAGAAGGTATTTTGTACAACATAAAATACTCATATTTTCACAGAGCAATGCATGTCTGAGACATATCTGAATTGTAAATTGATTAATGTAACACAAAAAGTTTAGAAAATAAATACATTGTGTGTAAGCAGCAGAACTAATGAAGCCTAGTTTTGTATCAATGCCTCTTTGTTCTCTGAGCAAGGACACTGGTGCCACCATATTAATCCAGCCCCTAGCACAACCTCTAGCTACTGGTGAAAAAATACAAGATGTGACACCAACTGAAGTGACATTGACTGCCCAATATACATATATAAGCATCAAATGAATGCTAGGCTACTTAGCTCGCTGATAAACAAAATATATCAATTAACAAATATTGCTGTTGTTTTCCTTCTTTGGGAGGACTAGTTTTAGTATCTCTTGCCAGCATATTTCTGTCTTTTTCACACAAATAGTTCTTGTTCAGTACAGCTAAACTTCTCCACATTGCATCTCATACCACTACCGAGACAATACACCAGGCTAGAATTCACTCTGTTTTGTCCTAACCTCTTCGTTCTGGGCCTCTTCCATGGGGGAGGGTACAGAGAGAAAAGTACATAACAAAAGTACAGAGAGAAAATGGTACATAACACTTCTATGTGAGAGACATCTTAATGTTCAGATGGGACATAACAAGGATCCTCACCCAGACATGAGAGGTAAGATGCTCTTCTAAAGTCTTTAATAAAGCGACAGCCTTTACATCATCTGCTCCATTTTCAAATTCATTTGTATTTGGCTACTAACTCATAACTTTGGATTGACAAATGGACATGTATGGACAACACAGCTACACAGGCCTTACAGGAATACAATAAATCCCATAGAGCAGTCATTGAAAGGGGAAGATGGTTATGAATGAAAATATCTGGATGGGGAAGCATCACAAGGGAAGCAAAAAACAGAATAAAGTTTTACAAGGCACCCAGATTGGCAGGTCATCTAGGTACCAGCACTTCTACACACAGTTTCTAAGGACAACTAAGTCAGGAGACAAAGTCAAAGTGAGTAAATCTTGACAACTCGCAGAGATGGGACAGGCTAGAGAGATAAAAGCTATCAACTCCTACAGGCTAAAGAAAAAGCTGACCCAAAACCTCAGTTCTCAACCTCAAGAGAAACCAGGATACTTAAGGGCTCAGCAGACAGCATCCTTTGTCCTCCTGTTGCAAAGAATTCTGTAGGGACTACCTGGATGCTCGTGTCTCTGTGCATGATTTGTGGAAATACCACCTAGACACACACATCTTGGTGCTCAAGAGTGTGTGGATGTAAGAATGGGAATGAAGAAATTTCTTCTGCTTCACTTTTTTTTATTAAAAAATCACCTTCTCCTCCTGTGAGACCCCTCATTGAGACCTGCTATACTGTTGCTACGTGTTGCAAAATTATGTTCAGTCCTTAAGAAGCCAGACCAAAAAAAGTAAACTGAAATAAATTTTAAAATCTTACCATACTGTAAAATAAAACCTTACTGGACAGCTGAAGTTGAGACTCAGGATAACTGGGCAGTCTCTCTTTTTATATACAAAGTGATTTTGGGTTTTGACATTTGATTTACACTTATATTTCATTCACCTGCTCTGCACTGATTTCTTTAAACAACTCTGTATTACAGAGTTTATAATCAGTAAAGAAATCTTGAATCTGTTTTTCCACAAAGGAACATAAGGTAAAATTCTTGATGCGTCCTTGTACTTGTATATTTTACCTGCTCTGACTGAAAATACCAATCACTACCTACATTTTTTTTTTTTTCAGTAAGAACAAAAATCAAGCATGAAAGACATATGAGAGAATGAGAGGAGGAAGTCTGGGGTGGAGAAGTGCTGAACATCATGGGGAAGTGTGCAAAGGCTGCGCATGAGCTCACCTCTTGGTGACTATGGTGGAAGGCTTCTTTGCCCCAGTGACGGTAAAGCTCCAGGATACCAATCAGGTCACCAATTGCAGTGACAATTGGCAAACACAGAACGGATTGGATACGGGTCCCTGATTCCAGTCCAGTACCTTTGGGAAATCGCTCATCCTAGAAAACGTAAACATAATCTGATAAAATGTAAGTATTATAACATTGACAGGAAAGATATACTGATGTTTTCCTCCTCTGCTTGGCTGATCAAATCTGTAGGAAAATTATAAAATAAATAAAAAATTGAAAAACCCTGATCTCTCAGTACAACTTACACATAGTATTAAGACATCTACTAAAAAAATGCAATTTAAAAGTCTCAGCATTAGTTTACATCTACCGATGACCTTAGAGATTTAAAGTCAGAGTTGGTTGTGGTGTTATACCGTCTTTATATAATACTTTTTTCTCTAATCTCACAGGCAGCAAAGCCAGCACTTCATTGCTAATGCCAGTCCAGATTAAATAAAAACTCAAACAAACAACTCTACCCTGTCACCACCTTTCCCCCCAAAAAACCTCAAAGCATTTGTAATCATGAAGTGGACTGCTCACATTTCAGTGTTACTGAGTAGACAGCAGCGCTTGCAAGAGAACAAAAATTGAAACCTGAGGCTAAGGCTTTAGGTTATGCAATTATAATCCTGAACTAACTCCTTACGAGGGAAATGTGTTCCCAAAAAATTGTGCATAAAAAATTATGCAAAAAATTATGCTTAGGCACCCTGAATAAACTAGTGCAAAAGTTACAAAAACAAATATCACAGTAATCCTACCAGCTGCTATAAAAGGCCCAATTACATAACTTTCAGTCTATATAGGGAATGTCTAAGGTTTTATAACTTCACTTTACCATGTAGGAAAACTCACAAAGACCTTAGAAACCACATGGATGTTACAGTCAGTGAGGCAATAAGTAGCCAGATATTGTGTTAAGTACACAAGACCCACTTCGTTGCACATTTGTCCTTCAGTATTTGATTCATACCAGATGTTCCCTGCAGGCTGTGCTTAGGCAAGACAGACACTCCTTCAAGGCCGATCAAAATCTCTCATTTCTCAAAGAAAACAGCAAGTAACCTCTACTTTAATTACTAAGATGACAGTCAATTTGAACAAATGACGGACAAGCGAGTGGGAAGCACTTTGAAACATGAGCCTTCTGCTTCCACTTTTTAATTCCGTCCTCCCACAAAAAAGGGCTGACAAGTCTACCTGCATTGGCTTCCCTTTCACTGTTGAGAAGCTCTTAACATCACATGAAGGCAAACCATGTTACCAAAATGAACCTCCCTGTTTGGTCAATGATCCACTGATACTACACCAACAAAAAAGTTCAAAACTCCTCCTCGCTAACCCCCTGATTTTATTATGAATGTAAAATCAAAACAAAATATACAACCTTTCTATACAAGGATATCATGATATTATTGGAAATTAGCAGTAACAATTTAAACCCTGTGTGACTGAAAAACATACCAACATATAAAATCTTTATAGTCCAAGGTATATAGAAAGCGCTGACTGATACTACAGGGAAAGAAGCTTCTGCATTTTGGTTTTGTGGCTCAGTTTAGGTATACTCACATTAGGCATCTGGTATTTTGTTTATAGTCCTGGTTTGCCCAACAAAGGTCATACAGTTTTTAACAAATAATTTTAAAAATAGAGAACAGCAGTGCCCAATTTTGTCCATGGTATCCAAAGATCATTATTCTGGACAGAACTTGTAAGGATAGGAAACACTGAAGAGATAAGAGAATGTAAAGTTCCTTGGTATTCTTATAACCAGCTAATCATAAAGTGCTCTCATAAAGCACAGTTGAAATACCAGCTTCATACAATTGCATAGATGGAACTAGAGGATGAAGTTTTAAAAATAAAAAAATAAAAATGACAGACATACAGAGTGCCAAGAATTATGAGAATATCTTCTTGGGAATTTCTGACTCCTGTTACAGAAAAAGGCCTGAATTTTGATATCAGTTACATTAATGCACCTTTCATGTAGATCTACTGACACTCTAGATTTACCTCAGAGTATGCAGAGATAAAAATCCTGCCTAATAACCAGAATTCTAACTGACATTCTTGTGAGTGTGAGCCCTGCATTAAAATCAAATTACTTTGATTACCTATATGAAAGTCGTCTTGTTTGGGATTAGTATTTCAAGAACAGGAGGACAGGAGTTTTTGGCTGGCAGGTTTTTTTTCCTCTTCAAGTGACTATGGTGGCATTACTTCCTTTATCTCTTAAAATAACCCAAACCAAAAGGCAAAAAAAAAAAAAAAAACAAACAAAAAAAACAAACCCAACTTTATATTTAGAATAAATGATATATTCCTAAATTATTCCATCAGCTAATCCAAACTCAAATTCATTTTCTTGATAGGAAGACAGATGTAAATTCCATCATTATAAATCCATCTCAATAAACATTTCAACATCAAAACATTCATTCTGAGAACATACTGCATTCATCTCATTAAAAATAGAAAGCTTTTTACCCCCAGAATATCTTCTACTAACAACGTTTTTCTGGATCTGGCTACATAAGCAGATACTGTAGTGCCATGTGCAATGGGGCCTGCAGGAATGAGTCGTGGTTGTCCTTCTTTAGCTCCTGGTGGTGTAAATATACACAGACTCTAGTTAGAAGGAAAAAACAGAAAGAAAACAAAACAAACCGCAATTAGAAAACATGGTTACTTTTACACTTCCTGTGCTACCTATGTAAAGACTGAATAAAGTAGATAATGTAGAGAAACACAGCTTTTGACAATGAAAAGTAGTTGAATAAACTCAGCTTAATTTTTCTGAAATCTAAGAAAATCCCACTCTAAAGTCACCATTCTGATAGTGGATAACTCCTGGATAACTCCAGTCAGTTACCATTTATATCAGGGTAGGACTGCATTTACTTTGAACACAAGTAACACAGCATGAAGACTCAAAGAGGAAAACACTGCCTTGAAAGAGACAGATTGGTTTTTTGTTTGGTTGGTTTTTTGTTTGTTGTTGTTTGTTTTTTGTTTGCTTGTTTGTTTTTATTTTTGGTCTGGGATGTACTTATCTATTTCAACAGAAAATAATCAAAAAGTAGAGATAATATTTAAGTTTCTTATTTATTTAAAACCACAGAGAGATGACATTACCACTACACAATGTATTACTAATATTCCTGGTAAGAATGGCCACAGGTTATGCCACTCCTTTGTGCTGATTAATTTTGCTATAATACTTTGCTTTCTTTTGGGCTATTTTCTAGCATGAAATACTAAAGGTATAATTTGCATCTGGAAATTCAGCGTCTACTGTCAGCTGTAGAAAACAAAGTGATGATATGAGGTGCATGCTCTCATAATTACCCTTTCTTTATTATAAAAACACGCACAGCACATTACAAAAGACACTAAATAATTAAAAAAAAAAAACAAACCCTAAAAAACACCACACTAAAATGTTCAGAAACTAAGAAGATGAAATATAATGCATCATGCAAGTACTTCTCTAGTGATGAAGGTACTTTAGTTGAAATGGATTAACAGCATTTTGAAAGGAGAAAGTTGAACTTTATGCTGAGGGGAAAACAAATGGTAGATAAAAGTATGGAATTCATAGCCAAAAACAGAGGAACGTCTATCCAAGAAGAATCAGTAGTTCGACAGTTGGTGCATTCAGTGAGTTCAAAAGAAAAATACTCAAGATTCTGACAAAACCAGTAACAAAGTATTTGTCTTGTTCTTAAGCACAAAGTCGGTCAGTCTCAAAAAGTTCAGCAAGACAAGGAAGTGAGTTCTCCATCCAGTAATTAATTTGCTAATATTGTAATACATATGAAAATTAAACTGTCTTAAAAGAGAAAATAGAGCTGTCACAAACTATTTTAGCATGGACAAGTGACTTAATCAATTGGAAGGAAGGATACTTCTTCCATGGACTAGCCCTGCTGAATATGAACATTTACTCCAGTTTGATGTCTTGCATTATGGTACAAGTACATGAAATATTGAAATATTCTGTTTATTCTTTTCCTAAGCCTTAATCTTATTCCTCCAACCATTTATGCTCACAGTTTCTTTGAAGCGTGGTCTTTAGCAGTGAAAAACACTGGAAAAGTTGGACTGTTTATTTTCCATACGAATTAAAAGCATTTAATAAAAAAAAATATTAAAAAAAAAAAAAAAAAAAAAAAAAAAAAAAAAAAATAAAAAAAAAAAAAAAAAAAAAAAAAAAAAAAAAAAAGAGCAACAGCCAAACAATCAAAAAACATTACAAAATCAATACATTGAATCTGCCAGAACAAGCCTGCTTATTTTACCGGAACAAAAAGCTCCATTCATTCTCACTTTTTTGTAATCTAATAAAGATACATATAATTCCCAAATGAAAACTTAATTTCACAGTTCCTTGCCTTCATAAGCTTCATTTCATGTTTTTACATGCACTTAAATAAATGAAAAAGAACATTGTACATAACATATCCAAGAAAAACACACCACAATCTGTATAAAAGTACATTATTCTAATAAAACCGAAGAAACCACAAATCATTATTTATTTAAATCAGTGTTCTGGTACAAAGTGATTTTTTTTAAAAAATCAAAGAAAGTAGTAAAATACAAAGGGCATAGAAGTTCAAATGTCTGATCTGCTATGCTACATGTTTATAGGAAAAAAAGATTTACTATTTAAAAAGTACTTTTATAGTAGGAACAGTAACAATTTAACTCATTACAAACTGAAAAGGTGGTTCCTATTCAAGAGTATTGCAAAATTTGGAGATGCAACATAATGTTTAAAGTCTGATTTATGTAATCCAAGTAGTGGAATGAGTCAAATTAAATCAACAGGACATAGGAGATCAAAGTTGAATTCTACAAAGATTTATAACACTTTTATCCACACCATTCTTCTTACCTTTTTTTTAAGACATATTTTATTCTTTTTGCCAAGGTAGCAATGCATGATGATTAGCAAAGTAACTGTGATATTTAAATTATATGTATAAAATGTGCCTTTCCACACTCCTCTCTTGAGTCATGCCTGTCACTAAATGCAAAACAATACACAAATCTTTCCCTTCTCAGAAAGAGCTTCTCAAAACAGAATACAAGAAAAAGAGACAGAAAATCAAAGAGCCACTTCTATCAGAAAACAAAGAGCTCATTTCTTCCACACATACATATTTTACTTCAGAAAATGCCTTCACTTAATTTTCAGTGGTCAAAAATCTGTGTTGACACCCTGAAGTCTTGCCAGCAAATGCTGCTTCCACCAGTAGAGTCTTTGCTATGGCCTTGTGTATTGGTTTGGCTGGTAAATTCCTCTGTTGCTATCACCATGAAATACTGCTATGAAAAAGCTTCCCTATATTTGAAAAAGCTTGTGAACATTATTTTACTTCCAGCAATAAAAGGAGTTTTGCAGAAGCAATCCTATTCTGCCTCTTTTGAGAAGCTGCAAACCCCACTGCTTAGGGCTTAGTGATCAAAAAACTCTTCAAACTACCCAGTAGGTTCTAAATTTGCCACAATTTCTCCTGTCTCTACAGGTATAAAAGTATGACCACAGAGAACAGTTGATAATCTTATGCTGAGCATGCAGCATTATTAAAAAGACAAGCAAATTTTCTCATAAGCTGTAATTAGTCCATAAGCTTCTACCATTCCATTCTGACTTTATACATGCACCTGTTCAAATATCATGATAATGATACATTCTATATATGATCAATTTAAATCTGGATGAATTTAAATATTTATTGCCAATTAAGGATGTGGAAATATCCTGAGTTTTGTTGGAGTTTTGTTAACAAAGCTTTTGAATTCTAGAAGCCACCAATGGCAAGGTCAGACAAACAAAATGCACTAAGCTGTGCTCTGCTGTACTATGGCATGGTACTGAAATAATCTCTGAGGCATCCCACAGATACATCTTTAAGGCAGTCTCTGTAATTATCACCATCCAAAGCCACCAGGTTTTTCACATCACCTATCCAGTTCACATTTCTGTTTTTCTTTTGTTTAAGGAAATAAAATTATTACTACTAACTGTGAATGACTCCAGCATTCTTTTAAGATGCAAATGTACATTCAAGTAATTTTTCACTAGCTCTAAGGGTAATTCGAAGTGTTCCCATACAGACATCAAGTATATTGTATACAGCTTCACAAGTAAGTGAAGAAATGGATACATCTGGCCCTTTCAAATTACTTGCATTTCCTCAGTGGGTTTGAATATTTTACTTCAAAAAAGGACTAGCAGTTTGTGTTTCTCGTAATGATACTGAACAGTGATTAATAATCAAAAGGAGGAATGAGAGCACTTTTATCCACAACTTAAACAATATATAGTCAATAAAAAAAGAAATACGAAAATGTTAAGATTCATGATTTCCCAAATACCATACTGATAACTCATAATGCAGTAAAAGGAAAAGGCTAAGGAAACAGCAGGATGCTTGCACACTGCTCACAGACTCTTTTGCTGCTATAATCATTTGCAGTGAGCCTCTAAGTCAGTATCAGGAAATAGGTAAATGCAAATAGCTCTTTACGGATACAGCAATGTCACTGGTCTCTCCTGGCAAAAATTAGGTAATAAAAGGGAAGTAGTGTAGAAAAAGCATTAGATATCTCTACTGATGATCAGAGAGAAGGAAACCAAGATGGGAGAGTAACTCTGGGCTTGATAAACTACCAAAAGAGGAGACATTGGCTTAGAGAGAGAATCTTTTGGAAGCTTCCAAGTTCATGCATTCTGGCACCTGGTAGCCCATGTGACTTTGAAATTCCCTGTTTTGATCTGTTTCTCCTCCTTCCAGACAAGGACAGAACCTCCTTACCTACATCAATCTCAACCACCCTATTAACAATATTCTTCCAATAAGTTCTATATGGTGATGGACTTCTTTCTTTAAATGTAGTATGCAGGGGAACATCAAAATCTGACACCAAGAATGTTCTATACCTTGTTGAAACCTGAGAGCTTCCTTTCCTGCCATCTCTGACAAGACAGATTGTTTTGGTCGGGCCTAAAATCTTCAAAATTATTCCTCCCCTCCTAGTTTTATCTCTTAATTCACTTTTACCAAGTCCACAGCTAAAAAAACTCATATTAATTTTGACAGATATTACAGCATGGTTTGGAATCCACTAGTGATCTATCACGACCACAGTGAGTAAGAGGTTCTGATACAAAACAGTAAGTCCAAAACAAATTATGACCAAAGGTTCAAACACTGATGAACACAGAGAAATGTTACAAAAATCACCCTTTTGTTTTGGTGGTGTTAGGTTAATAGTTGGACTCAGTGATCTTAGAGGGGTTTTCCAATCTAGAAGATTCTATGATTGTATTCTTCTACTCGTATTTCTTAGGCGTTCTAGGTATAGACAACCTTTTGTTCTCTCTAATGTCTTTTTAAAATATCTTCCAGTCTACAAAAATGAAGAATGATGTATATAGTAATCAGTTCTTGAGGGATACCAACATGACAGCATTCTTAATTCACAGATAAACCAAAAAGCTCAGCTTTCAGATGCATAAAAAAATCAGTATATATTCAATAAACCATAATACCATGTCTTTTGTTGCTCTTTTCTTGGTGCTATGCATAGAGTCTGGCAAAATTATTAAGTAATTT